AGAATTCGTTTTTAAAAATCAAACAAAATGTCAAAAAGTTTATATTTTTTAAAAAAAAAAAATCCATTTGTACTTGACATTGAGACCTTCACATTGTCATGTTCCGAAAAAATAATCTCTATATATATGAATTATGTAGATATATTTTTTGGCTGATTTTTTTCTTTGGCAAGGGTATTAAAGATTCAATGCTATACTTAACATTTTTTAAATTTTAATTTGTGGGCCTTCAGCTGTGTTGTTTTCTTATCTGATGAGGTGTTTTTATATATATATTTGTATACAGACACACGCATACACATATAATATATATAGTCCACTTAGTCATAAACTCTGAGTTCAATGCACTATTTGACTTTCGCACTGCTTCAAAGCAACTGATTGCACTTGTGCAAAGGTTTGAATCAGCTGATCAGTTGAAACGAATGGAATGACCTTCAACTTGAGTTGGCAGAGTTTAGTAATAAAAAATAATGATATAATGGTTTTTTTTTTCGATTATAAGATAGTCACAATGGAAATTGGTTGAAGTATACTAAATAATAAGTTATTTAAGTTATTTTACTAATAACACAATTAATATAATATTTTGTTTGTTTTTCTTCTTGTTGTAGAACCGAGAGTATTAGCTCCGAGGAGGAAGAGGACTGGCCCACTTCACCCATTATTCCAATTTTCGAACAATGTTAGTAGCATCTACTTACCCCCAGCAGCAGCAGCAAATTTTAGCAGCAACGAAGCAAAGCAGCACCCAAAAGTCAACAAACAACAACAGGCAAGATTTGGGGAGCCGGATTGAAGTAGCAGCAGCAGCAGCAAGCAGGCAGGCAGGCAGGAATCATCTAGGCAACACAGCAGCAGCAGCAACAGGTGCCACGAATTGTGGTAGCAGTGTATTAGACATATCTACAGCTACAACAACAGCAAAAACAACAACTGAGTAACTGCTCCACATTTTTGTGAGCTTCTATTGTGTGTGCTTGTGTGTTAGCAATGGGTGTGCGTGTGTGTATATAATGCTAAAAGAAAGAAATGATGCATCATAATTTGTTTAGCATATGCATATATATATATATATATATGTATACTTCTCTATATATACATGTATATATATGTATATATATATATAATTAACGCTGGTTCTACCATTTAAGAAAATATTGAAAAATGCGAGAGGTCAGCCAAAAGCCAGGCATAGGACACGGCACGAATATATAATTTTTCGATTTAATTTTGCGACAAGACAAAAAAAATACGTTCAAAACACAAAAGCAAAAAAAAATCAAAAAAAAAATATATACATAAATATAGAAATGATGCGGACCATCATACAAAAGATTGATGTCGTTCCGGACCAATTGAGATCGATAAAGGAAAACGATATAAATGCAAATTGATAAAGAAACACGCCCACAAAATTGCAAAATTGACAGGCTAACGGAATGGAACACCAATTTTTTGTGAAACAAAACTATAAAAACTAAAAAAAAAAAACAAAAAAGTATCATCAACCCAATTTCAAATAAGTTAAAAGTAACTTTTTGTTTTCCATGTTTGTTTTGTAAAACACTTTAAGAGAAAAAAAAAACATTACACTGGACCCTAAAAAAAGAAAGAAAACGAGAAAAAAAATCAACAAAAAATCTAAAAAAGTACAAAAAATCATTAAATATAGACAGACTATTAAAATATAAGTTAATTGTTCAAACTTTACCCCTAACAACATCAAATTCGGCCGCGCTGAGAATTCAAGCAAAACTATGACTAAGCAAATCGTAACAGATATATAAAATAACCCAAAATATGTAGTTGAGTGTGTAGTCGATCATTTTCTGCTCTATAAATATATATATGTAACAAATCGAAACGAAAGAAAAATCTATATAAAAACATTCATAATTACTTTGAGCTAAGTGGAATTTGTTATTATTTATTTAACAACACACAAGATCTTTCTGAAATGAAATGTATTTAGAACAATGCAAAACAAAAAAATAATAACAGTGATCAATTTTGTCTATAAATATGTGTGTGTATATAGATGCATATAACTTTTAAAATATGCACTCTATATATACATATATATATATATATCTTTATCTATACACACATTTCACTTTCTTTTTTGTTATATAATTTAATGCCTATTTAATTTATTAAAAACCAAAACAAAACTTGTAAAAAAAAAACAAAAAACCATGTACTAAATATTATACTATAGATATTATTATAGCAAACCAGCAAGGAAGAAAAAAAAAAAACAAATCAAAAATTAAGCAACTATATCTTACAATATGTTGTCTTTTTTGTTTTCCATTCAAATGAAGCGCCGCGCTCTGTTTAATAGAAAAAATTATGATGCATTATAAAGGTATATATATATACACGGCAGAACAACAACTATGAAGAACCCGAAAGCTCTTAACTTGAGCTGGCAAAAACTATCCGCAGAATGACAAAAACAAAAACAAGAAAAACAAAAGGTTTTAAACATTTTTCTAAAAATTCTCTACATTTTAAACAAAAGAAAACAACAATTTTAACGAAAATGCCAAATCGAAAAAATTCAAATTCGATTTTAACATTTCCTGTACATTTTAATAAAATGCGCGTGTCACTGTGCACAGTGGCATACAAATTTCTGATTGAAATATTTGCAACAAATCCAAATGTTTTATTTACCTTTGTATGAGTGAGCTAGTGTGTGTGCGTGCGTGTGTGTGTAGCTATAACCAGACTAGCAGAAGCTCCAACTGCCACTTGGACTCAACTCACGCTCTCACGAACTCTCCTCTGATGAAATGTGAGTACAATTAGAAGAGTAACGAAAAGATACTTGACAAGCCGCACTCTGCACACTCTGCAAATGTAAATAAAACATTGATAGTTGTACAAAACTTTTAACTTTTAAATCAATGTGCAATAGTTTTAACTGTTTTTGGCAAACAATTTCTAAATCGTTCATGGCAATACTCATATTTTTTAAGCTAAAGACAAAAAATTATACACGAATGAAACGAGTGTAAATGATTTTTAAAATTTAAGCGACGAAGCTGGAAGAGAAAATTGTGTGTTCATTGCCAGGCTGCATGAAAAAAGAAAACATTGTTTGTTTTTATACATATATTTTTTAATCTTAGTCTAACTTTAAATAATGGCAAAGTGACAAATAAGACAAACAACAACAACAACAAAATGGAAGTATAGACATAAGACTTTCTACAAATATGCCGCCAGTCGGTTATTCTGACATTAATTGTAAATGTATTTTAAAACTAGCAAATTTTACACATTTTTAGCGCGGAGTTAGTTAAATATTTGCAAGCAAAGTTGAAAAAGAAAAACAAAAACAAATAACGAATCATTTTAACTAAAGAAGAGGAAACTATATTAGTATTGTATAATTATTTCACTTAGTAGTACAAAAACACGAGCAAAGCATGTACTAAATTATCTTCCGCATTATATTTTAAATTAATTTTTAGACTTTTAGTTATAGTTTTGACAAAGAGATCTTTAATTGTACATTTCATTATCTCTAGACAGGTTTTGTAGTTCTAAAAAATCAATTCATTTTGTAAATTATCTATCATCCATTTATTTAAATTATTCTAAATTTCAAGTTTGTATTTAGTTTTAAACGATTCGTGGCAGGCAAAAAAGAACAATTAAGTTAATTGAAGATTGTGTATAAATGTTTAAGGAGCTGTAAAAGAACAACAAAAACCGTGATTGAAATCATTATATACACATGACAACAAATAAATGGAAAAAAGTATTATTAAATGGTAAAAAAAAATTTGAATTTCATTTGCATTTGCATTGATCAAAAAGCAATTGTTGTGTAAATCGATGTTACGCTATTTCGATTCATTATCGATAGGCATCGTAACAAGTGTTGGAAAACGTATAAGCTCACAGCTGCACAGAATCTTATCGATAGCACGCATGCAGTGTTTTTGCTTGGTGCTGGCAATGCCGTGACACATAACCTTCCTTTTCTAAATAATTTTTGTGCTGTGTACACGTGTTCTCCACAATGGCACCCGTCGAAAAAGCTAAAAAGGTCGCCAAATCGGCCAAAAAAGGCAAGAAGCATCCCCTGAACTCATACCTCAAGGGTGGTATTCTGCGTTACTCCAAAGCCCAGGTAAAAACATTCTAAAACACATTCAGAAAATGTGCTCACAAAGTTTGGCATTTGCTATGACGCGCCGCCTCTTCGTCGACAGCAACATCATGTGTGAACAATGCGTTTAGCTAGTATTTGATACATTTCTCTGTTTTGTTGTATAGATGTACAAGCGCCGTGCGCTGTACCGCCTGAAAGGTAAGAAGAGCCCCGTCGTCCAGAAGGAGAAGGTGCCCATCAAGAAGGTTAAGAAGATCGGTGGCCCCAAGAACGGTGGTGAGCGTACCGTCTATCTGCGCAAGCCCAAGGCCAACTTCCCAACCAAGACGTTCGTTAAGAAGCGTCCCAGCAAGGCCAACTTCAGTGAGCATAAGCGCAATACGCGCCGCAACCTGCAGCCCGGCACTATCCTCATTCTGTTGGCTGGTCGTCACCAGGGCAAACGTGTTGTCCTGCTGAAGACTCTGACCTCCGGGCTTTTGTTGGTCACTGGTCCCTTCGCTATCAACTCGTGCCCACTGCGTCGTGTGTCGCAGCGCTTCGTTATTGGCACCTCAACGCGTGTGGATTTGAGCACCTACAAGGTACCAGAGCATTTGAACGACGCTTACTTCCGTCGTCTGAAGGCTAAGAAGCAAAAGAAGTCGGGCGAGGCCGATATCTTCGCAGCCAAGAAGGAGCGCTTTGTGCCCAACGAGCAGCGCAAGAAGGACCAAAAGGAGGTAGACAGCGCCCTCTTGAAGGTGATCAAGGCTCATCCAGAGGGTAAATACTTCACGAAGTACTTGCAGAACATGTTTGCTTTGCACTCGTCCCAATACCCACATCGTCTGCGCTTCTAAGCGACGTTGCCCAAGCAAAACTTCACTTTAAGGACTTTTTAAATACTTTGTACAAGCCCCGCTGATTACAAACAATTTTGTAAAAAGAAAATAAAAAATTACAGAACCGGAACTAAGTGTCGAGGTATGAGGAAAAGAACAATCTAAGTGTTGCCTTAATTATTTTGCAGGCGCCTTAGCCGGTGAATCCTTGAGTTCGCCTTCATTATTATTGGCCAGAGGGTACTGCATCTGAAGATGGAGTGCGCTCAAGAACTTGCGTCGTCCATGTATATACCAGAGCATTTCACGATACGAGCCCGGCAGTACCTCATCCACAATGGTGTCCGCCTTGAAGGTGATGTAAAATATGTTGGTCGTTGTATGCTCTCGCCGATCCGTATTGAAGTTCTGTGCAATGGTCATCAGCTGTAGATAATTGTGCGACGTATATACCACATGGGCGTTCATCTGCAAAAAATCGGTGACCATAACAGGCTTAAGGAAGCTGATGTCCGAAACGCATTTCAATCTAGGCGCGTGCCCTACATAGACACTGGCCATAACGACGGACAGCTCGACGGCCTTACGCATCAGATAACCGCCGAAGATCGTGTTCTGTGCATTACGATTCTGCGGGTATGGCTTCAACAGTGTCGAGCACAGGCTATCTGCCATCCAACGGCAGCGATGAGGCAATATTCGTTTGTTCAGTTCGAAGGTATTGTGCGGCGTGGTTCGCTTGAGCACATGATACATGATGGCTTGCTCATGTTCCAGCGGGGGTGTGATGAACACACTTTCACCTCTAGCCCGTTTGCGTTCCATTTGTCGCTCGTTCGCCGCCTCCCAATATTTTTGCTCCATTTCGTCGGCTGGAGCAAGGCTATTCGCTGGAGCGGAGCCCGTATTGGTGGCGTTGTGGGCGACCATTATGAAGAGAGCTTTGGTAACGTTCACATATTGACCTTTGCGCGGCTGACGCACGTAGATGGTTATCTCCATGGAACTGCTGCCGGTCCAGGAAACAAACCCACTCAGCTCTAAGCGCTTGTCCAGCTCTAAATTCTCTGTGTTTTTAAAATCGACGCGATCCACGAGTACTGTGACAAAAGTGTAGGGCAGAAACACATTCTTCGGCAGGTTCGGTAGCTTGATATGTCGATGACATATCCAAACTGTCAATTGGGTTGGACATGTTAAAAACGAAACATCTATATATAGTAGTTAGGCTGCTCACCTGCAAACATATCCATATCCTCCATCAGACGTCCCAAACGCACTAGACCCAGATGATTAACGTAGCGCTCCCGTATCAGCTCATTTGAGTCTAGCGGCACCGTAGCTATCGTATAGGAATCATTCATGCTGCGCGTAGGCAACTCTTCCTGTTTGGGGTGGTACTTGAGCAGGTTCTCCCGCGACTTGGGCACAAGATTATATCCAATCTCGACGCCTGTGCTCTCTCTTAACTTTATCACTACTGCGTGGGAGATAGATCATGGCATGGATATAGTTTGTGTTAATAGCTTTCGCTGCTTACTGTCATCGATGGTGCCAGAAGAATGATTTGATTTCTGCTTTAAATATTCATCCATGTAATAATGCCTTAGATCACAGTGCAGGGACCATCGCGTTGGAGTCCTACTTGGTTTTTTTCTTATGTATGAAAAAGCTTACAGTGACCGCAACCTATGACTCACCTGATCAGATAGTGCCATCTTCTAGGAGTCCACAGACTTAGACGCGTCATACGGAATTTTAAATTTGAAATGTTAAAAAGAAAATCTGACAATGAAAATGCTACATTATAGCTTAAATATAAACATTTAGTTTTTGATAACAAGAGTTTACATATATATATATATTTGGATATACGATTAAGGAAGCTGAAGACATTTTTATGGTCTTATTGTAATTACTGGTAAAACTCTATAATATCTGATGGGTAGTTAACGTTTTGAACCTCGCACATTTTATTTGAAAACAGAATCGATTATAAATCGGGATTTATTTATTAAGTGATTTTCATTTCTTCACTGTTTGTTTATAAGTATTATACAATTGTAATTAAAGCATTAAATAATAATTGAATAGAATATAGTTTCAAAAACGTTATATTACTTTTAAAATTAATTTTGAGTCCAAATGTTTCTTTGGTTGCTCCAAAGCTAATCAACGCTCACGAGTTTCCCTCTATATATTTTGTATTGCCTCGTCAGCATAGCCTCCTCATATTGCATTATCCTTATCCTTTTTCCCATTGAGTCCCATGTTGTTTTCGAACTTTCGACGTCCTTGAATGTACCACATGGTCTCGTGATAGGACAGCGGCAACACCTCGGTCACCTTGTCCGGGGCCAAGAAGGTGTAATAAAAGGTGTTGGTCGTTACCTGCTTGCCCGAGTGCGGCTCCAGCACTTCAGCCACTGTCATGATTTGTAAATAGTTCATGTTCGTGTACACAACATAGGCCGTCATCTTAATAAACGAATCCACGCTCACGGGTTTCTCGAAGCTAATGTCCGAAATGTGCTCTAGTTTGGGACGTGTCCGGCAGTAAAGCACTGCAGCTGCCCAGCTAATCTCTAAAGCACAACGCATGAGAAAGCCACCAAAGACGCGATTATGATGGTTACGATGTTCGGGAAACGAGGGTATGGTGCTCATCTGATACGAATGCGACATCCAGCGACAGTTTGGCGGCAAGATACGTTTGTTCAGTTCCATAGTGTCGCTGGGCGTTGTGCGCTTGTACAGCTCATACATGAGTGTTTGTTCCGAATCGTTGGGTTCTACCTTGAAAATGGACTGGGCGCGAAGCAATTGACGTTGATTTTTCCGTTCCTTGCCGCCAGCCAAAATGGTCGACTCCTCATCGGTGGCCGGCTTAATGGGATTGACCGGTGCCGCTCCTGTATTAGTTGCATTTCGTGCGGCCATTAGGAAGAGGGCACGCGTCAATTTAACATAGGAGCCGTTTTGCAACTGCTCCAGCCAAACGACTACCTCGATGGAACTGGTGCCCACCCACGAAACATGCCCGGACAGACGTACATCTTGGGTGCCGGAGGCAAGCGTATTAGTGAAATCAATGCGATCCACTAGAATCGTCACAAAAGTGTACGGCAAAGGTATATCCGCCGGCAGCTGGGGTATGAGCACATGTTTGTGACAGCACCAGGCTGAAAAGGAGAGCATTGATTATCCTATCAGATTCAAGCAGAGCATTGAATTCAAACCAGCAAACATATCCATATCCTCCAGAAGTCGACCCATGCGCACGTTGCCCAGATATGTCACATATTTATCCTGCAGCGCTAGATTCTTGCTGAGTGGTATGATGGCCGAGGTAAATGAGTCTTGCATTGAACGTGGTGGTAACTCCTCCAACTTGGGATGATACTTGAGGAGATGACTGCGCGACTTTGGCAGGGGCTGATAACCGTGGTCCAGACCCAGACGTTTCATCATCTCTTCCTTAACTGAGATAAGAAAAAAAGAGATTAGCAGAGTAACGCAAGCATTTATTGTGGACTTCTAAGATTCACATACTTTCCGACATGGTGCCCGAATTGTCAGGAACCGATTGACTGATGTGCGTGGGCGTAGTATAATGACGGCTACAAAATTTTCTTTTCTTTAAAAGCTATCATTTAATAAAATTGTTTACCTACAATCTTAAGGTAGATGTAATGGACGGTACATTGTTTGGAGCCCACAGCTGATTAGAAGTCGTTTTCATAAGTGTCCCACTGGCAAGGCTTAGGCATCTTTTTGTCCCTGCTAAAGTGCGCAGCATTTTTATTTAATTTAAATTTAAATCCAAAAAAAATTCAGTTTTTGATGATATAAACTAGTTTCCGTTATGTGTGTACATACTCAACTGACGAACAGCTGATTTTCGCACAGTGGTTCGATGCTATTCGTACAAAATGTATCGAAAGCGCTGCTCGTGGAAATTTAAGTGAGCGTGATAATGTCGATTAGCTGTCTGTTTTTTTGTTATCTAATCTAAATTATAAGCGAACAAGCATGTACAATTTAGTAAATACAATATTTGCATACACATACATTTAATTAGTGCGTTCAGCGGCTTATCTGTCATATTTGTACCACGGTTTATTAGCAACGCCTGGTGACGTCATCGATTCCGTCGATGCTCGTTAACAATAAATTAAATCTGATTATGATTGCTAAAATAATCTATAATAAAATAAGTGAACTTTATTAAAACTAATTGAATGTAATCAATAAATGTATATTTATCTATATCTATATCTATATATAGCCTATATATTATATATATATATACAGTATGATGTACATGTATATAGTAAAATATATATTAAAAAAAGTGAAAGTATTCAATATTTCAATATTATTTAATATTCAAATAAACAATATACTCAATATTATTATATTCTATATAGATTTTACAAAATGTGAAGGTATTAAATATTTTAATATTGTTTAATATTTAATATATATTTAACATTGTTTCATATTCGATATTATTTTCAATATTCGAGTAAACAAGAATACATTTAATATATAATATTCTGAATAAATTAAGATATTCTAGAGATTCAATTCCTTAAGCGCGAAGTTAAGAACCATGGGCAGCAAGCCTGCATCCTCCAAGTCCAGAATCTGCTGGCGTAAATTATCCATAGGCTTAGACGTGATTAGCTGTAATGTTAAGGCAATTAGTTTAGAGATTAGGAAAAATAAAACTAGTTCAGGATTCCGACTTACGTTCTTAATCTTCTCGCGAGGCTCAGCACTTTGGCAGAAAATAAGTACAACAGCTGCCATATGTGGACGCTGGATGAGCATGCAGAGCTCGGCAAATTGATAGAGATTCAGAGCATGTACAACCGGACAGCCCTGCAGACGTAGCAGCATCTTTTGCAATCGCTCCTCCAGTGCATTGGAGCGTGTTTGCACTGCATTCTTGAACGGATGCGACAACACACAGTCCCAGGCCAGGGCGAGTCCATCGAGATGCAACAGCTGTCGTTTACAACTGAGCACATCGACCAATGCATTTAGCTCACGAACCATATTAAATATAACCATGCGCTTCAGTATGCCATTCCAGATTTTGGGCAAATGTATATCGAAGCCCAGGCAAATGTCAGCCATTACCTCAAGCGAAAGTGGATTCTGTGCATTGCGTTGCCAAAGCATCTTTAAGATACTAATCTTATCGCAATTGTTATCCGCAAACTTCTCTATATTCGAATTGTAGCCGAGCGCCTTCAATTCATGAACACACTTGATCGTTATAAACTGTCGCTGGCTGATGGTGTTGCTAAAGGAATTACTGCCATCATTAAGCTTGGAGTAGCATTCGTACATCTGCAACTGTGTCGAGGTGTTGACAGAGCTGGAATGGAAGAACAATAATAAATAAATGATATAGTTATACTTAATTTCAAGCTTACCCGCCCTTAAAGATGAGCCCCACCAGGAAATGCACCGCCTCCGATTTCGGCCAGCTACTGAGTATGTAAAATGCTCGTACAACATTCTCGCTGGCAGTGCCTGTTTCATCGCCGCCATTTCCGTTGGTGCCATTCTCTGTCCAGTTCTGATCATCGAGGAAGGTCTCCTCCATAATGGTGCCATCGCTGGTCTCCATTGTGACGGACAACCATTTCTGGAGCAACTTAAACTGTATGGCATCTAGGATGAGATCGTGCAGCGCACAAATCTCCTTGACTAGGCCGTTGATATCCACCTTGCTAGACTTGAGTATCAGTTCATGATGGTAGAGGCAGTGTATGAGTTCTGTGGGATGTTCGACAAGACGCAACAATTTCTCATCGGTCATACCATAAACGTGGAGCAAGTGCTGTGTCTTTTGCATGGGATATCTGCGTTTTATCTTCACCAGCTGATCTTGACATTTGGGATCATTTGTCAGCGAATCGTGTTCCATGGCATATTTCCAGCACTCGTAAGATGCCTCCACCTGATCTGCACCCTCTGGCGCATAGCCAGCAACGAAATACAAGATTAGGAACACCTTGCTCGGACTGTGTACATTCTTGACCAAGCGAAGGATCTGCAATTGAGAAGCGATTAGGACAAACTGTAAATAAACAAAATTTAGTTAAAGATCTTACCGACTTCAGGAATGCATTATTGGTTGGATGTAAGCTCCAAGTTTCCGAATCGTTTTTCGATTTGTACTCGGCTATGGAATTTTTTACGGCTGCCATACAAAAGTAATCACAATTCTGTGATATTTCCTTGGAGTTCTTCAGGGCAATGCACATAAGTATAAGAGGAAACCAGCTCTGACAGTTGTCCACATTAAGCTCACTATCTGTACCAGGAATATTATAGATATAAAATTAATATATATTTTTATGGATAGCTGTGCCATAAGCACCCACCAAGTATGTCTTTCAAAGGCTTCTCCACAATCGGCTTAAAAGGCAGGCGATAGCGCGCAATCTTGGGGAGCACACCGTTCTCCTTCTGAGACTGCAACCACATGTCCGTCTCTAGTTGACCTGGTCGATTACGACGACGTGTGTTCATCTTGTGTCGCAGAAAGTGCAATATATTTATCCAAGTTTCCATCTGCTTGGGCGCCGCATCAAAAAATATGAGTATCTCAATAACACATAGATACAGTTCATAAAAATAGATGTTGATCTCTTCAATGAATTGTTTCAGTTTGGCTGTAAAGAGATCCACATTCTTGATCTCGTTTATGTACGGCTGACACATATCACGTATCTCTTGCACGCTGCTCAATATGACCAGCTCTTCGTCGCCAAACGCATTGATCTTGATTTCATAGCTTAGCTCCTGGGCATTCAAAATACTTAATATTTGTGTGATGAGCATCTTTTGATAGTCCAAACCAAAATCAGCGCTCATTCGCTCCAGCAGCTGCACATTAAGTCGCTTATTATGGAATTCCTTTAGCAATTGATCAATGTTGTCCATTTCAGCATTGAATTTGCCTTTAATACTAGGATCTTGCTGGCAGAACTCCAAATAGTAATACAGTTTGTTTCGTCTGTTGAGAAGCAGGTAAAGGCATAAAACTTAAGCAGACAAAATTCATATTATATTACATACTTGGCACGCAATATTTCCACATTATTCATTTCATCAATGTGCTCATGGTACATGGCGGAAAGTGTCAGGAAGTGTATTTTCTGCTGATCCGTTTTTATATCCATGGATAGCTTATCTAGCAGGGCACGCGACTCGGAGTCCGCGGTTAGCATGGTGAAAAGCTCTAAATACAATTAAGTTATTATTAAACATAATTAAGTTATTAGGTAGTTAAAGAGTTTTACCAATCAGGTTGGCATCCTTGTTGTTCATTGCATTGCGTAGAATGCGTCGCAATTGGAGGGTAATGAAGCCTTCATTTATGATCTTTTTGCTTTGATTCTGTTTCTGATATTCTAGCAGATATTGGGACATAATGTACCACACATCATGCTCCTTCGCTTTGGTCAAATGCTCCAACGATAAGAAGAAATCAGTGCGTGCACCATCAACATCGTTCTTAACATTTTCTGGTAGTAGCTGTTTCAGTTGCTGCAGCAACGAGTTATTTGAATCCGTCTCAATTATCATGAGCAGCAGCGTACGAGCCATAAACTTCACAATCGGCAAGCTGCCACTAATCCGTTTCTATAAAGTATACATATTGTGAAATTATGTTAAAATTTTGTTGGGCTGATGTTACCTTCTGTTGCGGTTGTTGCTGTGGCTGCACATCGATCTCCTCGAACATGGAGACCGAGTAACGTTTCTTTGATGTTGGCTCTACAACAGGTTTAATTTCAATGGAGTTGTTGAGCGCCATGGAGAAATTAAGCGTTGTCTCTCCCAAGGCAATCGGAGACCCATCTAATGCACGGCAGATTTGATCATTAATACTCTGCTCTTTGCCCAAATAGTGCGTCTCTATAGCATCCATTGGATAGTGTATGACAGCAACACGCACATACTTAATCAGCTCGTTAAGATCGCGTTGGCGACGATGCTCATGCAACATAGCTTCGGTAAGCAGCTCGTACGCCAGCGGAAAGCACAAAGGATCAGTATCATTGAGCTGCTGCAGCGATGTATAGGTATCTGATAAAAAAAAAAGGCAATATATAAATCAATTCAATTACCCCGACTTTCAGTGTAAGTTAACTTACCATGGCCATTAGTTTTGGCCTCACTGATTTGCTGCGCCAGCAACTCAATGGCAAAGTTTATAAATTCGTTGCTATTTGCTGGCACACAGTCGATGAACTCCAGAATATGGTGTGCCAGGGCACAGCTGAGTTGCAGACAGTTCATGCGCTGGCTAATGCACAAAAGTCCTTGCACTTTTTCCAAATTGAGAGCAGCACATAGCTCACCCATTTCGTTGACTATAAAAGCGCATACATTCAGAGTTGCCTGGGCACGTGACATGATCAACTCGATACCCTTATGGAGCAGCTCTATACGCTTTTGCAATGGTATCAACTCACTGCTGCTCTGCAACTGCAAATTGAACTTTTGGCGCAGTTGGAAACAATGCTTAATGAGAAAATACCGATGCATATAAATTGGGTCCACATGGGGCAGCGTAAGCTTGAACAACTCTAACAGATTAATATGCTCCTGTATCTTGGCTTCATTCACAAATGAACCGGAGCTCATCTCGAGCATATTGGTCAGGATGTCAACAACATCTTTGCATTGATTATCATTATTTTTACTGTTTAACGACTTGAAGAACTCGTAGGCCATTTCAATTTGACCACGCCGAGCCATCTGATAGCAACAATTAAAATTAGCACTCGTCGAAATCTCTGGTGCAGCTCTGGTCAACGTGCGTATATCCTGCAACATGTCCGGCAAATTAAGTTTGACAATGCGCATCATAAATAGCTCGAGATTGATGTCAACAGCACTATCCGCTGGCCAGCCATACTTCACTTTCATGATCTTTATCACTTGAATCTCATATTCGGCATTGATCTTAATGCTAAGTGGATGAGTGGAATTGCGCAGTTTTATGAGAGGAGCTAGCGTTTCGGGCCAAGGCACTGGTGCATTCTGTAGTATCGACAGAGCGCTTTCTAGACGACTATCCTCATTATGCAGGAGCTCGACGCAAGCCATAGCACGCTCAAGCCAATTGCTAAGCGATTGGCGATTGGACACCAATTGGCCTATATACTGCTTGATGGCATTTAATGGCTGGCGGCCTTTCTCCTGATAAATGGGATAGAGAAAATCCTTAACTAGACTCTGTATATTATCTAAATGCACGCGCTGCAATATGCGCAATGCAATGCCATCTAGTGAGTCCTCCATATAGTTATCCAGCGTAAAACCAAGCTTATAGATCTTCTTTAATACTGATAAGTCTTGCAGCGCATTGACCAAATCACGCAGCTTGCCAATATTACGCTCGTGTTGCCGCTCCACATCACTACAAAATAATGTATATATAAGTTAAAAATGGTAATAATAGTTATGTCAATAACTATAATAAACCCACGAGTAGATGAATTTAACTTCTTCGAATATTTCCAAGATATTGCTAGCAAATTCTAAGCCAATATCGGGCCAGTGTTCGCTATATTGCAGCTTGCGTGTCATCTCAATGCTCCAGTCCGTTATAAATGGCATAATTTTGGGATGAGTATTGCTGACCATTGGCACAAATTGACGCAACCACAGTACCACGTTTAGTGGCTCTGTTGTGCTAGGTATGAAGCCCAACAATGTGCGCAATTCATCCTCGCTTAGATGCGGTAAAACGCAGCTCGAATGACGACGCCAAATCAGGCAAGCAGTGGGCATATCGGTGCTAAACATTCCCTTGATCACCCTCACCAGATTCGTGTTGTATACAAACTTTTGCCACTCAGTGTTGCACTCGTAGGGATCGATGATATCAAGCGTCTTGAGACGATGCAGCTGCTCATCTATTTCCAGCATATGCTGCTCATCGTCCTGTATGCAAATATTATATAAATATATTTATCAGTATATTTTGTGATTTCTCACCTCAAAATCCAATCTCTTGCGAATTTCTTTTAGGTAACGCTCCAAAATTTGACGCGAGCTTAAGTTAATCATGCGATTATTTTTAATAAAGGCTTTGCTTTCAATCTGACCCAGCAGGTTGAGCAGCAATTGAAACTTTTCTTCCAACTCATTGGGCTGTGTGCTGTGGGCGTTGGCATTGCAGAGTTCGACAAGAATACGCTTGGCTCTGGCCTCATAGATGGGTTGCAGGCATAGCTCAAATTGTATGCCAAAGTCCTAAATGGAAACATGATTAATTATTATCTATATCAATATAATTAAATTAAATGGTGTACCTCCGCCTCATCCAGGCGCCCCTTGGCTATCAGTTTTTTAAAGCGATCACTGGGATCTGTCTCGGATACCATCATCATCTCCACCTCTGAAGGGATTTCACATTCTTTACCTGCTCTAGCCGCTAGATAATACAAATTGACGGCACTTTTGGGTTGCCTTATAAGCCAGGCATGCAGTGGAACTTCGACCTCGTTTTTGCATTTAAACGCTTAAACAATAAAAAAACAATCAGTCATAATTAGAATTAATTAATGATTCAAAACTTACAAGGATATTCGATAAATTTTATGAAACGTTCACCGTCAGCTGTGGGCTTGGTAAGTATCAAGAATTCCACATGCTCGTCGCTGGACTCCATAACCAATAAATCCTCTATGAGCAGCGCACGACTCAAGGCCGATTGAGTGAAGCTGAAGGTGCGTGTAAATGGACAAATCTCCAACAGATGACCCGATTCCGTCAGTGCAATTCTGTAAGCAGATGAACATGCCATAAGTATTATATATAATAAGCCTAACTTGAACCTACACATAGATGTCCACATTGTAAATGTTCTTGATGCTGCCCAAGTGCTTGGGTAAATTGATGCGTGTCACATCATTGGAAACGGTTTTAAAATTGAAAGTGTCTTGCGTGCCAGTTAAAATCAAATCATGATCAGCACGCGGTGTTTCCTGATTGTTGACCGCATAGGCATGTGTAGTTGGCAGCTTGAGCAGCAGCGCACTATCCACGCAGCTAGCAGCTCGACCAGAGGATGTGCGCTCAATGGTGACATCATCTAGAAGTGCTGTCATATTCTCATTATCATTCAACATGACATTGGCTAGTGATTCTAAATGAGCTTCATTGATCTCGCTCAGACTGGAATAGAAAATCTGGTTAAGTGAAGTGGTATTTAGGAGTGATTGGGGTTCCACTCACCAGTAGACACTGCCATTTTTACATGTGAAGTAAAAGTGCGATCCCAATTGCTGAATGCTCGTAAAGGTGCCGCTGCTGAGACTAGCATCTTCCACTTTAATGCATACACTAAACAGTAGCAAGCCCTTTATATATACGCCATGCACTTCCCCATCAGTTAGTCCACACACAATAAGATTTCCGCTGTTGGATATGGCAATTGCATCGATGTTTGCGCCAAAACTTAGAAAGCTGCACTTGGCTATCAGCTCATCTTCAAGCAATAGAAGGCTCTTATCGATGGATATCACCATTTTGCCACTTTGCACAGCAGCCTGAATCGCAGGATAATTTGCAACCTAACCAAAGAAACAACTGTATTTATTACTATTTTTATTTAATTACAAATTAATTTTACCTCATCTTCACTGCTTATTTTGAATACACTGCGCGAAGAGAAGGCATTTGAAATGGTTTCATCCTCCACTGCAGATGCCTCAAAATTGCTCCACATCTTGTTACACTAAATGTTTTGGTCGCTAAAAAAATTTAAACCCACCAGCGCCAAAATTTTACGCGTCACTCTTCTGCTAATAGTGATGAGAGTCAATATCTGTTAATTATCTCAATATCGATAGTTCTATTGGGAATTCGAAAGTGTGTTATTTATCTCTGTTATATATGCCTAATACTTAGCTAAAGACTACCCAACCCTCATTTTTATTTCATACTGATTACAACTCAGACAGCAATATAAATGTTTGAATTAAGGTAAATATCTAATTATCGATATAATATAGATGGACTATCGATGAGCTATACACGCGCAGACTAATGGTCACCTTAGGTACAAAGCAAAGAATGGAATTTTGGTATTTGCATGTTGTCAAAATACGGTCACCTTGGCTGACAGGCGAGGAAAATTATTTATATTTTAGAATCCACGACGCTTTGCATACGAAAATTATCAAAATATTATAGTTACGCAGAAATTTTGAACGCATTCATGCACAAATGACAAAGTGTGGCATTCAAAGGGCCAAAAATATGTGTTATTTGTTTTTAAATGGTTACGCAGCAACCAATTTACCTATAAAAATATAGCCAGGCACCGCGGCCATCAACAAAAAACCAAAAACTACGATAGAAATTTGCGTGCGCAAACGGCAATACTGCATGTTAGAAAATTTGAAACGTGCAAACCCTTTAAAAATGCGCTCACCATTTGTAGTGTAATTAATAAAAAAAAATTGCAGCAAATTTGCTGCCGCTGCTTTGCGGTGGTGGTGCAAAAAGAACATAAAATCGGTGGCAAGAAGAAGAGCCGCCAAGTGAGAAAATTGAAATTAAAAAAGCAAGCAAATAATAGTAAAGATAATCATCCACTACGGAGTGCGCCGATCAAAATCAATTAATCATATCACATTAAAATCAAGAAACGCTTAATTATTGCAACGTGCAGTCCATTGTGTTATTTGTGCTGCAGGTGCTGCTGCTGCTACGGCTGCTTGGCGCTTCGCTGCTCAGACGCTGCCAACGCTGACGACATGCGCGCGTAGAGTTGCCAGCTCTGAAATAGCCAAGGTAGTCGCATTTCTGGCGGCTTCTATCATCAACACGGATCAACATTCTTTGGGACCCTTTTCGTTGGTAAATTAGTGCATTATTTTAAGTAAATAACAACACGACATTCAACGAGGCCCTTATATTTTTTTGGCACACAGGTTGGCAGCCCAGTTCGGCAAGCATCGAGGACAACATTTTCCAGGCAATCTTTCTTTTAATAGACGCGTCGTGATCCCACGGATCAACGACGCCATTAAATAAATATTTCGTTCGCCCCGTTGTTAAGGAAAAGCTGCCACCATTCGGAAGAAAAACACTTCGAATATGACCCACAATATCGGTATGGCGCCATATCGTTTGCCGGGTCCAGCGGGCGGTCTCTGTCCGCCTGATTTTAAACCCCCGCCACCGACGGATATCATCTCGGCGCCGAGTAATCCGAAGAAACGGCGGAAAACATCGAATGCGGCTAATTCTGCGGCAGCCGCTGCTGCAGCGGCAGCAGCTGCGGCGGCTGCCGCTGCCAATTCCATGCAACAGCAGCAATCGGCGCCGCCCACTCCTCAAGATCTGTTACCACCGCCACCAATGGGTGGCTTTGGTGATACGATCGTCGCGTCCAATCCGTTCGATGATAGCCCCCAGGTATCAGCTATGTCTAGTTCGGCAGCTGCTGCCATGGCGGCTATGAATCAAATGGGCGGTGCCGGCGGTCCTGGTGGGCACTTTGGACCGCATCCGCACTGGGAGGAGCGCATGGGCATGGGCATGCATCCTCATATGCATCCGCATCATCCAGGTGCTGGAGGCGGCCCCATGGGTCATGGGCCACACGGACCGCATCATATGGGTGGGCCACCACCTATGCGTGGCATGAGCCCCTTAGGACCTGGCGTGCATCCGCATCCGCATGGTATGGGACCCGGCGTTGGACTACCGCCGCATATGAATCACGGGCGAGCCGGTGGAGTTCCCATGGGCAGTCCAATGGGTGCAATGGCTGGCATGGGCGGAATGAGTCCAATGGGTAGCATGGGAGGACCTAGCATATCCCCACATCATATGGGCATGGGTGGATTGTCGCCCATGGGCGGACCCAATGGGCCCAATCCGCGTGCAATGCAAGGCTCTCCTATGGGCGGCGCTGGTGGTCCGATGCCCGGACAAAACTCACCTATGAACTCGTTGCCAATGGGTTCGCCTATGGGTAATCAAATTGGGAGTCCGTTGGGTCCGGGACCTGGACCTGGTCCTGGGCCCGGGCCGGGTGGCCAGCAGCAACCCGGACAACAACAACAGCAGCAACAGCCACAAAACCCGCAACAGACGCACATGAACAATGGACAAATGGGTCCGCCGCCTCTGCACAGTCCGCTGGGTAATGGACCAACGAATCACAGTCACATGTCCGGTGGACCAGGGCCAGGGCCAGGTCCTGGGCCGGGCGGCTTAGTTGGACCCGGTGGCATGTCGCCAGCGAATAGCAACAACAGCAACAATAACAGCAACAACAGCAGCAACATGATGGGCGGCAATGCGGCGAACAACAATAGCAATAGTAATAACAACAACAACAATGGCAGCAACAATCCCAACAACAATAGCAACAACAATCAAAATCCTCATCCACATCTGTCGCCAGCGGCGGCAGGTGGACGTTTGGGTGGTGTGCCCAATACAATGCAATCGAACGGTCCAATACCAGCGGCGTCATCGTCATCTGCATCATCAGCATCCACATCGACGACGACGTCCACAGTGGTAGCAGCGACCACATCAGTGCCTACGTCCTCACCAGCGCCGCCCGCCATGTCACCGCATCATTCTTTAAATAGTGCCGGTCCCAGTCCGGGTATGCCAAATGCGGGGCCCAGTCCGTTGCAATCGCCAGCGGGCAACAACAACAATATGAACAACAATAATGGACCCATGATGGGCCAGCAAATGAACCCAAATGTTCCTATGCAGCAGCAACAACAGCAGCAACAACAACAACAACAGCAGCAACAACAACAACAGCAGCAACAACAACAGCAGCAACAACAGCAGCAGCAGCAGCAGCAGCAGCAGCATGGTCCCATGGGCGTCCATATGGTTGGCCAGCCAGGCGGACCAGGTGCTCATGGGCCTGGCGGCCCTATGGGCATGGGCATGAATCAAATGCTGCCCCCACAACAACCACCTCATCTTGGAGGACCACCGCACCCGCAGCTTATGAATCATCCGCACCCGCATCACTCACATCCAGGCGGTCCGCCGCCTCATCATATGATGGGACCAGGACCGGGCATGCATGGTCCAGGTGGTCCAGGTGGTATGCCACCTCATATGGGTGGCGGCGGTGGCGGTAATCCGCACATGATGGGACCACACGGCAATGCTGGTCCGCATATGGGTCACGGTCATATGGGCGGTGTACCGGGTCCGGGTCCGGGACCAGGCGGCATGAATGGACCACCACCGCACCACGGAATGCCACCTCACCATGCACATACACATCCACATCATCACGGTCACGGACACAGTCCGATGGGCGGGCCAAACATGTTTGGCGGCGGCGGCGGTGGTCCTATGGGTCCGGGCCCCATGGGCAACATGGGTCCCGGCCCAATGGGCGGTCCCATGGGAAACATGGGAGGCCCTATGGGTAAACCCATGACAATGAGCGGTGGCAAAATGTATCCACCGGGTCAGCCAATGGTCTTCAATCCGCAGAATCCTAATGCGCCGCCCATTTATCCATGTGGCATGTGCCATAAGGAGGTCAACGACAACGACGAGGCAGTTTTCTGTGAATCCGGTTGTAATTTCTTTTTTCATAGGTAAGTAGAGATTTAATCCTCATCCAATCAGTAAATCGGTTCACCTCTAATATATTTGGGACTTTGTAGAACCTGCGTGGGTCTAACCGAGGCGGCCTTTCAAATGCTCAATAAGGAGGTGTTTGCCGAGTGGTGCTGTGACAAATGTGTGTCTTCCAAGCATATACCCATGGTCAAGTTCAAGTGCTGAAGAACCACCAATCAACTACAACAACGATGATTACCACAAAAACAACAACCACCAGCTAGCACTCATTCACTCTGTATAAATATATCCAAGCATTAACTATTTTAATTGTAGATTTTAAGCAGTTTAGGCTACCCACATACATCATACACAATATGCGCTCACAATAGTCAAAGGTCCCCAACGAAACCATCAATTTAAGTGCGACGACTCACTATATATATATATGTATATCTATATATATGGCCGGAGCCGTGTTGTGAATTTTCGCTTCGGCCAGGCTCAACGTGCGCATCCTTAACAAAAACAAAAAACCGAAAAGATAAATCAAACCTTAAGAAGAAGAAACAAAAATATGTATGCTAATTTGTAATATAGTATAGCATAGTATATATATATGTATAAATATATATATATATATATATATAAATCTATATCTGTATGGCATGTGAGACGATACGTTGTTGTCTGCCTAGAAAGCGAGATAAGCAAGCGTAACGGAAATGAAAAAAAAAACAAAAATGAAATACAAAAAATAAGAAATGAAATGAAATACACACTGAATGATACCGTCGAAATTTGTAAAGATGATAACGAAAGCAAATATCAATCTACTCTGGTGTGTATTTAAAAAAAAAGTAAAATTATAAAAAAAAAACGGCAATTCCAAGAAGGAAAAAGAGAAATTACGTTAATGTGTTAAGCAAAAGAAAAAGGGAAGATAAGACCAGGCAGCTTAGAAGCAGCGAACACAAAACGTTAATTTTACAATTTGTTTTCGAATTATTAGAGTTGTAAGTGTGTGAACTGCATGCATGTGCGATACAAATATATTTATATATATATGTATATATATATTTATATATATATTTCTATATATATGCATAAGATATCTTTAAAACTAATTACCGATCTGACAATGAGCATGCAAATTGTAACGTACAGCAAATTTCGAAGTGTCTGAGAAAAGTCTTTCGTGTGGAGTTTTTTTTACTCTTGCGTCAATTTTGCATAAAATTTTAAAACAAAAAGCAGAAGAAAAAATAAAACAAAAATATTAAACATGTGTGCTAAGCGAAAGAGTATTGACGTATCGATTGAACTGATGAGAAAATGTATTTACAAATTATTAAAGATCGAGATAGAGAAACTGAACACAGAAATGCGAGTGAAATCGATTGAGAACAAAAAATAAAAAATAAAAAAAGGAAAACAAATAAAAAAATAGGAAAGCACAAGAAATTATTAAATGAATGCAGCAAAACAGAACTAATTTAAGCATTAAAAGTTAACGCGTGAATTCAGAATGGAAACATTGTATAAATTGCAACTTAAGTTATTTATAATTAAATAAAAAAACAAAAAAATACATACAAAATAAGTTGAAAACTTAAATGCTTTTCACTATGAGGAGAATATGCCATGATAATCAAAGCATCAACTTGTGGGATACGTTGTTTCAAAATATGATTCCAGATCAAATTTCTATCGGTTTTAAGTTACCTAGAATTTTCCTGGTCAACGTAGTTAACCTAACCAAACTGATTGTTCTGCCCGTAATATCATCGATCACCAATTTATATAGCTACAATCTTTCAAACATACAATTGAAGCTTCAGTTAAGATATATTTCCACTATATTTATATATATTCCTCTTAATCCCTTCAAGTCATTTAGTCTTTAGTGGAGTGGTTCTATATATACATTTTAACATACATCTCCTAAAGTATTATCCATGCAAATCTCTAAGGTATATTGATTACATTAAGTAAATTTCAACAATTTTTAGTTCGTTTATAGACTCCATTTCTTAGTTATTATTGCATATATTGTAATGTATTTAGGTTTTGGAATACTTAAGCTAAAAACGCACAGGTTAAAACATTATAAACAAATACAAATATAAATTGATTTGGATGAGTTTATGTTTTTGGAAACTCGCACAACAAATACCCAAAAGAAGTGATGAAATTGTTTTGTGGCTTTCAAACAACTTCGAACTGTGGCCAATTTTCGCTCGTTCAAGCAAATATTGAAAAAGTTGACATTGTTTTAGGGCGGCGCTCGCTTAAAGCTATAACATTATATATTTTTTGATTACATTAAACTTTTTGCTTTTAATATACTTTTCATAATCATATTATATGCAGAGTACGCAGCTGTACGATTAGGTCTCTGCATGGTGCGCAATTTTATCCGATAGCTGCCGTTATTAGCTCGGCCACGTCCTGATCTGTGCTACGCACAGTCAGATTCAGCGTCACGCCCTCAGACAGAGCTAATTTGGCACGCACGAGCACCTCGACCCCGCCACGGAAGGTTCCTGCAGAAAATAGATTAAGGTCAGTATAAAATGGCAATGCTCAATGTTGACTACCGCATACCCGAGCAGAGTACGGTGTGCAGATGCGTGCCCTCATGCACTTTTTCGGAAAGATTTGCAGCGCCCAGACCCAGTAATTTAATAATAGTGTTTACGGCATCCTGCAAATTGTTGACAGCAGATAGTACAAATGTGTCCTCGGCTTGCAGCCATTCTGTAAATGGAAACATGAATGTTGCATACGAAATTAAGTTTCTTAGTAATGAGAATATATATATTTAAACAGACCTTCACTATCGGCAGCATCCCATGCCACTTGGAAGTTATTCTTTTTCGTTTTCTGTATTTGGTCGGCGACTGTGATGTCTAAATCCTCCAGCATGTACTCATCGTCGTAGCCCTCATCCGAGTCGGGTTCGCCGGTATTAGGATCACAGTCCTTTACCACAAAGCGCAAAGTTGCGCCAAATGTAGCTACAAAAATAGAATAGAAATTGAAACAGATTTATGTACTGTAGAAAGCAAGTTATTCTTACCTATAGAACTGCTCGCATCTGGCGGAAATTCGACAATTACGAATGTTGTCTGCAATTCGTTGTAGGCTAATTTGGGACAGGGTATTACGGCACGTGCTGTATAGCCCTCGGGCAGCGTCAGTTCTACACGCACATTCTCCAGAAACTGCTCGGCGAGTGTGTTAAGGCAATCAAATTGGAATACAACATGTTGAGCAAAGATATGCTTGATGCACTGCACGGTATACTCCGTTTCGCTTTCGGTTAATTGTATAGGCGCTGTGCTTCGATGAATGGGTCCCAGCACTTGTATGCCCGGCAGCTGAGCCAAACGTGCGGCACTCTCCTCCTCCCGCGTAATTTTTGGTGCCCGCGGTGCACTTGTTACCATCATCACATCATTGGTGATCTCAGGCTTAACGATCGCTGCCTTGGGCACAATGGAAATGTCAAAGTGATTTTGCAGATCACCATTCAGGTGATCTGTCAGCGCCTTCTCGAGCAGCGCCAGCGAACAGTTCTCCCGCTCAATTATGTAGTTCTTGTACAGTTCCGGCTTGGCCGAGTTAAGTATAGTTAGATAGTACGTGGCACGATCACGTACTTCATCATCTAAATCCATTTGACAGCGTCCGAGCAGCACCAAAATATTGGCCAGCAAGGCGGGGCATGAGGCACCAAACTGAGCCAGGGCAGTCACTGCAGCGGCGCGCACAATTGGACTCTCCAGAATAACGCGATTGTATATAAATCGTATGTATTTAGACGGCGTGGCTGCAAATGGTCCCTCCTTTCCAAGCAAATGGAGAATACGTACGGCCAGCGAGACGTGCTCGCAATCCTCAATGAACTCACACAAATGCGACAGACCCGACTCCTTGGCATCGACATTCTCCTCAATTATTGTTATAATGGTGTCCACGATGGATGTCTTGTATTCTAGACCGCCCTCCTCGCGCAGCATGCCACTTAGGAAGTTCATCAGTACTGTATGCTTACGTGGATATTTGGCGCACAGGGCACAAATTGCATGTACCACCACCACTTTGAACTCATCGGAGATTTCTGCTACAAATGTGGAGATTTGCTTCATCAGACGCTCCACTGAGGATTCAGCGCCAGTTTTCAAGAGTGTAGTAATGGCCAGCGTAGCAACCGAGCGATTCGTATCGGTAATCAGACCCTCCAAATCCAAATTACATGTGGTAACAGCGGCTGGATGCGTCATGGCCACCTTGTTTAGGGTACGAACGGCAGCAAAGCGAAGCGTTGCCTTAACTGAACTGCAAAACAGTTGCAATATGGAAAACGCCGGCGAGAGCAGGCGTGGATTTACGTTCTTCATATTGACAATGGCATGGGCCGCCTCATAGATGACCATTTCGCTTTTGTGACGCAGACAGGATTCGATGAAGGTGTACAAAGGCGAATCTGCAAGCTCTTCTGCAGGTATGTCCTCCTCCTCGATAAGTTTACAGGCAATGCGTATCTGTTTCAAAGAAGTACTTTAATATGGCTAATCCAATAAAAACGCTGTCTAACTTACCAGCATGCACACTGCGTAGGGACTCTTGAGCGATCCACGCGTCAATTTGTTAACCAACTTGGAGACGGCTAGGCGATCCGCTTTACGTATATGATAGAGCAAGCCTAGAGCATGATACTGCACCATTATGTTATCGCTGTTCAGGGCTTCCTGAGCTTCGTTTGCCCAGCGCTTGACAACATCACCGGCGGTATTGGCCAGACGCAGCGAGCTGACCAATGCGGCACAAGAGACAGCCGCATTTTTGTCCACAATGCATTGCTTCATGTAACGTTCGACGGCCTGGAGCATTGTGTGATCTGTGATGCTGCAGAGGGCACGTATGGCAGCGGCACGATATAGATCCTCTTTGCCGGTCATGTCCTTTGTCAGCGAGCTGGTGACAATGATCACATCCTCGGCAATGGAGCTCAGCTCCTTGATACCTAAATAGACCATGCGGCGCAGCACAACATCCTTGGACTGGAACAGCTTGGTCATGGCAAAGAAACAGTCGGTTGCCTCTCTGGCTACCAGCTGCTCGCCCTGATTTATCAGGTAGAGGATCTTGGTGAGTATGTGGATGCATTTGCGTGCATTTACTGGCGTCTCATTGAATGTACGCGTCTCCTGCAGCACTGAGGTCTTCTCCAGATTTTGGTACGCATTCGTTGGACCTGTTTTCCGTTTGTTTTGCAAGTTCGAAATAAAATATTTCATTTTGTGTTTTTGTTGAACCGGCAGTAGGCAATAAATATCATTAGAACTTGAAAGCAATTTTTGTGGAGTGTGTTGTTCGAGTTTATTCTGTTTGTGTGTGTGTATATGAGTGTGTTAATATTATTGTGCTCCGGTTTTATGCTCTTTTTAGCTGCCAGCAGAGCACCTTCTTCAGTTATTAGTTTGCAGTTGATGTTTTGTTGGCGCTCCGGCGGCACTGTTAGTACTATTTCGATGTTTGCCAGTTACTTACCGTCCTCCTCCTCATCCTTCTCGCGACGAAATGAACCCATTTTTTGTGCTGCTTACTTTAGAAACGAGTTAAAAAACAAATATAATTGTGAAATTGTATAAAGAAAAATCACTGATTTTTCGCTACGCGTACACGTCACACTACACAGCAAGAAGAAGTTCAGTATTCATCATTCAGCTGTAAACGTTGCTGCCCACTTTAATATTTGTCTAACAGCCATACTGTTCGGATGTGTTGCACTATCGATATATGGCGTTCGATATTATTGAAAATGATATATATCTACATCGAAATGGTAAATATTCGAATTTGTTTTTTTAAGCTGAATAAACATTGTACATTTATGCTTCATACCTTGTATTACTGGTTATTTTTTTTATAGTTATTTAGAGTCTACCACGGAAAGCAATGTGAATTTATATATTTACTTATCATATTGCATGTCTAAATATCGATATTCGATTGTAAACATCGATGATTATTACCATATCAACATAGAAAGCCAAACGTTTTGCAGAAGTTTATTTTCATGTGCAAGCAAAACAAATATTAAATATATTTGGAGAAAATGCGTTCACGTAGCAGAAGCCGTTCGCGGAGCCCACGAAGAGATCGGCGCGACGACAGGTCCCATATACGTACCAACAGGCGGGAAACACACAAGCCACCGGCAAAATCTAAAGATAGAGAGCGAGAAAAAGACCGACCGCACAAAAATGGATATGAGAAATCGGCTATGCGGCAAGAGCGACGTAGTTCAAAGAAACGAGAGTCTCCTCAACGACGTCAGCGTGCGCGCTCCCGCTCATCAAGTACTGACAGCAGCAGCAGCACAGGAAGCAGGAATAGTAGCAGTAGCGGTACAAGCAGTTCCACTTCACGTAGTCGGAGTCGAGATCGCGGCCGTAGTCGAAGTCCAGTGAAACAGAGAAAAGAATCTGTTGAGCGCTGGCCCAACGATCGCTACCACGAAAACAACGATAGACAAAACAATCCATTTCGAGGACGTGCTCCTGAACGTAGCTTCATTAATGATCCGGCTGAACGGCCTAGTCGTAGCCACCACTCACACCGAGGCGGCGGTCATCCCAGAGATTCAAAGGCCTTGAGTGCAAGGCGGGCACAACGTGTGCGCATTGGCGAGGAAGGCGTACCAGAAGTTTGGGGCACAAGTCCGACGAGGACTAATAACCATGACGTAGAATTCGTAAAGGGTTCCTATGTGGGCCCCAAAAAAAAGAAAAAGAAAAGTAAGAAATCAATTAAAAAGTCGAAAAAGAAAGCAAAGAAAATCAAAAAGAAGAAAAAGAGCAAAGGCGTTTCCAGCAGCTCATCCGACACATCTTCCTCAAGCTCATCATCATCAAGCTCCAGTAGCGAAGAGAGCTCAAGCGATGACGACAGTAGCTCTGAGAATGAGGATGAGCAGGAGCTTTGGCTAGAAAAGACAGCGGATGGGATTAAGAAGCCACCAAAGAAGAAGGTCAAAAAGAGCAAAAGTAAAAAAAACAAGAAGAAAAAGAAGCGCAAATCGGATTCCGAGAAAAAGTACTCATCCAGTTCAACAAAGTCCAAGTCGAGGGCGAGTGGATCCAAGAACGAGGAAGATGTGGGTCCGTCCCTACGCACTGGCGGCAGCCTGAATCAAAAGGACTTTGGACGCGCTCTGCTGCCGGGTGAAGGTGCTGCAATGGCTGCCTACATCGCAGAGGGCAAACGCATACCCCGACGTGGAGAAATCGGCCTCACATCGGATGAGATTGCCAATTTTGAATCGGTGGGTTATGTGATGAGCGGCAGCCGGCATCGCCGCATGGAAGCTGTGCGTATACGTAAGGAAAATCAACTTTATTCAGCGGATGAAAAGCGCGCCCTGGCCATGTTTAGCAAGGAGGAACGACAGAAGCGCGAGAATAAAATATTAACACAATTCAAGGACATGATTCACTCAAAACTGCAAGCTAAGGATAAGAAATAGGACGATTTGTAAAAAGAATTCAATGTACAAATTTATTTTCTTTACCATTTGTATAGAAATATGAGCGGTAATATTCACAAATTATGAAATAAACTGTTTAAGACTTGTATAAAAAAAACTATCAACTATTTTATTGATTTCCATATCAATTTCAGAAAATGTACATAGTTTGAGCAAACGAAATTTATAGTCGGTTCAATTAAATTGGGTTTGGTTTTATTTCGATAGCTTGCTGCACGATTATTAAAGGCGATACCTTTCACTATAAATCGATTAAAACTATTCCGTTAGTACTTTTTATTTTGGGCGAATTTAGTTAGCGTCATTTAAAAGCGTAGAAAAAATGCTTCTTTTGCATTCTATATTATGTAGATACATATATAATTTATTATATTTAAGAGAAATGTATATATTCATAATTATGGATAATGAAATTCAATAGCTTTGATTATGGATAATAAGAAAAATTTCTCCGAGTTGGCACACAGTAACAATTTTTCAATTCAGTATTTGGTGAAATATTATTGGCAAATTTGATTAGACCATTTGAAAGATGTAATTGTTTTCGTTTAATCAAGGATCTTAGAAGTTTTTTTAAAAGAATTTTGATTTTCATGAGTGTTTTGGATTTTAACTCTAGTCGCTGAACTTTATACAGGATGCTTTTAACTATATAAATGTTATACAATAATATTTAAAATAGCAATTGTATCATAGCAATAATACCTCTTTCCAATATATGGTTTTCATATATTAGCTCCACTGTTAACGAGTCTGATTGGTTAAAGCCTTGGAATAACAATTCAGTTGCATTACGTAACTCAATCAGCTCCTGTGCCTGCAAATCATACTTCATCGATGTCCTGCAATGGGTCCAACAACGAAGTTCTTTGTTGGACCCCTTACAAGACGACTGTGACAGAAAACTTGCTTCTCGTATCTCATTCAGTTTATCCACACTAAGTGAAGTTATCTCATTTCCAATGGAAACGAGAGATGCGCCCAATTCATTTATTTCCTGTGACAGACTAGACTCTGAATCCAGACCCTCCCCACAGTCATTAGAACTTTCCTCAGACTCAAGCTCATCAAACAAGGATAAAGAGATGAAAATCTGTTGACCAAATCATCGAATAATAGATAAATAAAAAAGGAGTTTTAGTTGTGCAGAGTACAGAAAATATTGGCTATATAAGACGAGAAAAAAAGAAAAGAGAAGAGATGCGATGAAAGTAAAAGAGATGAAACTGGATGATGAAAAGGCCAAAAAATTGTAATAGATAGATGGGAAAGAAGAGTAGAAAAACGGCCAGAAATATTGTACTCCAGGTATGCTTAAAAACTGTATTGAATTGAATATATCAAAGAATTTTAGATTAGTTTGAATGACGAATAGCCCTTGCATATGTATATCCATGGAACTAAGAGCTTGATTTCTTATGTAGGATATACAGATTTCCTGCTACATACAGCCATGCAAGCCGTCATATCTTTATACCTTTTTTTTTAAGCGTTTAACATGCCTAATCATTTCAGCATGCAGGTCGGCTGTCTGCTTGTCTTCCAGTAAAGTTCTCATGTGCATTTCATTCGCTTGCAAATTGTCAAGTAGACTTTGATTACTTTGCACGAGAGTCTTCAAATTGTCGATCTGGGCCGCAAGTTCGTTATTATACTTGTCAGCCTTTTGCAATATGTGCTCCACGTAATCCAATTGCTGGTCAAAGCCAACAAGTTTTTTACAATCGTCTACCGTATCCATAGGTTCAATAGAATCTAATCTGACACGTTAATAATTTAAATGTTTGTAAGTTTACCAAATATTATGTTCTAAACATTTTTAAATGTTAATGTAAACAAATCGATAGATATTTTACAAATATATAAATAAATATCGATAAATATAATATATATCGATAGCCTTCTATGACTAGCATTCGAAAATATTCAAAAATATATATCCATACATCTGTATGCTATATAGAATAAAACGTTTGTGGCAACTTATGATTATTTAATACACTACTGGACATGTCTGTATGTACATTCTAAATACGCCTAGCATAAACTAATTGAAATGATATGTGATTGTCCTTTATCTGCAGCTCATGGCATTGGCGATTACCACCATTTTGCGTACTACATAGACATTTGTGCCATAGTACGGATCGATGTCCTGTTTCCCCATGGTTACGTCGCATTCCATACGCGTAGTCGTCGGTGCACTGTAATCTTCGCTAGCCGTGTCTAGGGCAGATGCATGAAACTCTAAGCACCGACTGAATGTTAGAATCTCTTCTACATTGGACACCTTTATGCCGGCGCCTGGCATTATAATCATGTCACGATGATGCTTTGCTATTAATTGTGCCAAGGCTTCAACGCCTTCGGCGGCGGATGCACGAAAGCCACTGCTTAGCACACGCTTGAAGCCCAGTTCCTTTAGCAATTCAACATTCTCGTGCATATATTTATGATCTGTGAGATCGAAAGCACGATGAAAGGTCACGGGCAGACCATACGAACGCTCCATTACGCGCCGACACTTGTCCACATCGATTGTTCGGTCTGGAGTAAGTGCGCCAAAGACAAAACCGTCAGCGCCATGAGTACGCAGCAATTCCATATCGGTTAGTACAGCTCGCATCTCTTCCTCGCTGTAGACAAAATCAGTGCCACGACGTGGACGCAGCATGCAATGTATGGGCAAAGTAAATGGCAGCTCTCTGAGGGTCTTCAGCGTTCCAATGGTGGGCGTTAAGCCACCCTCCTGTAGGGCAGCGCAAAGTTCAATGCGAGCAGCGCCGCCTTCTTCAGCTGCAAATGCTGATTTTATTGAATCCACACATACCTCCAACTTTATATCATGAGCTGACATTTTGCAGCGTTCAAATTAATTAATTGAGTTAAGTTGAATAGAGCTGTATTTCTTTGGTTATTCGAGGTGTTGTTTATTTTCCTACTTTTTGCGTGGGCTTTGACAGCTGCTAGTTAACAGAAAGTAAAACACTAACATTTTCTGTAACACACATTTATTAGTATCGAGTATAATAAAATTATTTTAAGAGTTGTATGTATTTGCAGACAGTGCTGCAATTAGCCGGACTGTTTTACATTTTTGCCTAGTGCTTATTTTTTGTACAAAAAACGTTCAATCCTACCATTTTTTTAGTAATAAAGTTGCTGGGCAGTGTTGCAAAATATATAAAGTATCGTTAATTTAAACTGCTGTTGCACAAAATGCGCTGCTATACTTTCGGAATGTTTGCTTGTGCGTATCGATACATCGATATAATACAACATACCCAGACGCAACACAACTCTGTTGTTCTAACCTCAAAGTGGCTAACAAACAAAAGTTGCCTCAATAATAAATATATATTTTGTTTTTGCCATTAAATGCAAATTGTTAATAACAGTGAACCGACTATGATGTGCACGCGTTTGAAACATTTACAAATATAAAACTACCCACAAGCAACTAAACGTCCATTGAAATCAAACAACAAAAGCAGCAGCAGCACAACCAGCAGCAGCAGCAGGACCGAGGCAACATAAATACAAATACACAAAATAGAGACGAACACGCAAATAAATAAATAGAAAATACAAAACGCAGCAACTGAAAGGCATATGCATAAAGCAAGTGTTAAGTGCTGAGCAATGTTTTAGTTAATTTCAACCTATATTTCTAAAACTTTGGATGTGAAGCTGAAAATGAAAAATGCTTTAAATTACGATTTTCATTACGTTCTCTCTGGCCGCGAGTTGCCAGAGGAGTTGGTCGAGACTTTTTCTACTCCTGCCAACACCACAGTGATTTAAATACAAAATATACGTCCGTCGTGCAACGAAAAATGCACTTAAAGACAATCGCAACAAATAACAACAAAAACAGCAACAACAACACCTAACGAAATCAGAGTCCGCGTCCATCGGTGCTGGTGACTGCAAAGACACCCATCACTAATACCTTACCACATATAACCGGCGAGTGCGACTGAAACAGAAGCTGTTGCTCGTCCTTTGCCTTGTTTTTAGCATTTAATTTGATTGTTTGCCATTGTCGTGCCTCTCCAAAACACTCTTGTTATAATTGCTTTTCATTGTTTACGTTTATTGGCACATTTGTTGAACATTCTTAGCCCATTTTACATTTAACATTAAATTGTGCAATTTCCGAGTGATAACGGTTTATAGTTAGAAAACAAATCCCTTGTTGAGCATTTATATCAAAATGAAATCTTCCTTGTCGCATTTGCCATCGATATCACGTCCAGCCGCTACAGCCACAGCAAGAGCAACATCAACAGCAACAACAATAATAAACCCGTCCAATTCCAACTTCTCGTTACCATCATCAATGCATTTGCTACGCTCGACGAGGACCCTTCGCTATCAAGCAAAACAAATGGCTTAAAAGGAATCCGAATGTACGTATCCAATATTTCAATTTACATTTAATAATTTATAATTTAGCAAGAAGCACTTAATTGTCTCTATGCAGTATGTATAGATGTGTGTTTATATGTTGGGAGCTTAGCTAAATATGTAAAGACAGTTAAATTATGTTCATACAAATAGAGATAAGTCGAAATGATAGCTGAACCTAACTGACTTCTTAAAGCTCGCCCGCAGCGAAATTTTTTAATTTTTAGTTTGAGTTGTGTAATGTAATGAACATGAATAATGAACCCAGACCAAATTAAAGATCCTTAAAACTTAAAAGTTTGTTAAAATTAATTCAACATAAAATACAAAACTTTGAGCTAGATCAACATCAACATCAAAATCTGCATCTATCTAGAATAATATTTTTTTAAAAATTTGATTTATCGAATTTTATAAATAAAAACATTTGGAATTTCCCGTATAATCAGTAGAACCAGTCTGCAATTATAGAATAAATAGAAAGATTATGTTGAAAATGTATGGATCAAATATATGCTCATAAACCGCTTTCCAATGCTGGAAGTTGTTTCAAATCGTAAACTAATAAACAGATAAATTTTATTTCTATCCTTTATAGCTAAACTTGAATTTATGTTTGCATGCTGAAATTTTATAGATAGACAGTTTAATGACATTTTGCGTTTATTCAGTTGATGGAAAAGAAATGTCGGAAAAATGAAATTGGGCTTTAGTTATTTACTTTAAGGCTCTCTTTCTATTTGGTCAATGAAAAAGTCACGCAGAGCCATGTCTGGTAGCTGGAGCATCCCAACTTTATTGTCTTTGGCAAAAAAAACAATCTAGCTTAGTAATCGTATGTCTTCTGGGCATTTATATTTTCCACAACTAAAGTCTTTTGGCTAAAAAGGCTCAAGATTTATAGCCAGTTATTTAGTCCTACCAATACATTTTTTGTTCAAAATATTCGATTTTAGCTTATTTCAAACTACCACAAAAATGTATTCTCGTGTTGGCATTTAAATTGAATTTCTGAGTGAGAAAATTCAATAAAATATATTTTGAATTATTTGATTTGCGCATTAGCCATACGAAGTCGTGCGAGAAATATTTGTAATTTCACCCTTTGGCAAATATGCTACAACACAACTCAAACTCAAACCCAAATCAAACCATATTTTCAAGGGTTATTCAATTTGATGTGCAGTGAAGAAAAAGAATGCAGCTTCAAGAGGAATTTTATTGCTTTCTTTGATTGTTACACGTTTCTAAATCAATTCAGATTCATGTACATATACAAACTATGAGGGACTATAAAACATGTAACCCTCTGTGGCTTGTTAATAATTTAGAGCTAGTTAAAGTATCATTTATTATTTATTTTGTTTATCTTATATTCATAATTACAAACGTGTCAACCTACAAGCGATAGAACTCTTAAATCTATCACTAAAGCACTCTTAGGATGTTTTAAATATTATGTTTCTGATTATGAAATCAATATGAAATTTACTTTATTTTGGAATATGCATATTTGAAGTCACCAAATTTGGTTTTTCCATTCTTCAATCTTATACAGTACAGAAAGTGGATCGGAAATTACTAAAAAATTATTTTGCATCTAGTTTTAAACGAGTAGAATGTAAACGGAATATTTTAAACAACTTTTAAGGTATGATCTGGAGGACGAGCTGAGTCGATATAGCCATGTCCGATTGGTCGTCTGTCCGTTGACTTGAAATTTTGAATGTTTCCTGTATTCCATACGCAGAAATAGTTTCAAAAAAATATCTATTGCAAATTTAAGGTATAAGGTCCTTTAATAAATACATATAATTTAAATGTTTGTGACTTTTATACATCCCTCGCGACACTAAAAATGTGCAAAAAACATATTTTAAATAGTAGAATGATTAATGGATGATTGAGAAAGTGCAACTAGAACAAAATGTATTAAATAATTCATTCCCCATAGTAAAACTTAGTTAGCAACTCTGCACAAGGATTAGGGTGTCTCCTAGGTTTGATGCTCTTGTAGCTTTTTCCTATGCTATAAATGCTTTTAAAATGAAGAAATTTTCCTAATAAAGTAATTTAAAGTTACAAATTAATAGAAAAAAAATTAATAATTTGAATTTAATTTCAAAACCAATATTTTCTTATTTTCTTTGTAGAAATTGCAGTTTTTAGAATCCCAAAATCTCCTTTTATCCACACAAAATTAAATGCAAATTACACATGTGAGTATAGATGTAAATAATAATACATATTTAATATCAAATTTAAATAAACAAATTTAAATAAACATTTATGCTGATTAAAAATAAAATGTTCTTTATAATGACTTCGTTTGCCAAGTTTTAAAGTATATGAATAGAAAATATATTATATAAATACTAATAAAATATGGCTAGAATAGGATTTCGATCAATTTTGAGCGATATGGTATGATCTTAAGAAGATTTTGAGAACTTAGTAGAAGCAATTCAAAATGAATAAGTTTTTTTTAAGAAAAAACCAATCCCAAAATTTTGTTTATGTTGTGATATAAGAAAATAATATAATAAATAATAATAAATAAATAATAAAATAATGTTAAAATATTTTCAACTGAGCGTGTAACTTTACTTATAACGGATAAGATGTATAGGCTTTTTCCAAAATTTTTAATTTATTTAACATATTTATTTTGTCGCCCTCAAAGTAATATTCATCAAATATTAGACTGACTTGAGCAAATGTGTTTTTTTAAGCCTTGAACAGTTCATAAATAATTTTCTTTGAGTGTTCAGCTCCTCTTTGTTTATATCCTCAATAGCGTAGTGTCGTCCTTATAAGGGCTCTCCTCAGTTTCGGGAACAAGAAAGTCACAAGATCATTTGTGGTACATTTTTAACTTGATTGATTACGATTGATTACAAAATTTTAGTATACAAAATTTGAGCAGGTTTTTTATTTGGCTATTGCGAGAACCTCCCGCTTCTATCATCGCAGGCTCGTCTAGGCCTTTGCTAATCTATAACCATTTGAGAATTGTATGATTGTAGCTTACTATGCTGATTAGACAAAGTTATATTATATATATATTTATATATATATATATATATATATATATATATACATTTTACATATCTGTAAAAGGAATATGCATATATGTTTCTAAATAGGAATTTAATTATTTCATTTCACTTTAATATATTAAGAGTATATCATAGAAGTAATATAATGAGATATTAAATTATTAACAACTTTTCATATGATAAACTACCTTTTCAAACAGAACAACTTTATTTTTAAATATTCTTTTATTTATTTATATATATTTGTTTGTATATGAAAGGATTGCAATTGCCTTTGATCAGAGCTGAAAACAAAGTTTGTTTAAAACAAGCCAAACGCACGAAGGTCAATTGCAGCACTCAGAATATGCAAGTTGTTGTGTGTGTGTGTGTGGTTGTTTGTTTTTGTTGGCCCCCTTTAGTTTTGCAGTCTAGACTCGAATCAGACTTAACATTCAACATTCAACATTCAAAGCTCAAAGCGAATGGCGCTTGTCGGCAATTTGCCTTTAACCTCATTAGAAACAAAACGGCGCCAATGCCGCCCAGGGCCCCTCTCATCTGCTCCGCCCTGTTTGCAAAAGTTATTGGAAATAAATGTTTTGTTTAATAAAAAGGAGAGTTTTACTATTAGTGACGAGGGTGGCTTCATAGTTGTGGTTTGGGGTGCACTAAATGCAACCCTCACAGCTTTTACATGGAACTCTGTTCGAATTGTTTGGATTTGGTTTTCTTGTTCTCTTCATTCTTTCTTTGTATGTACGAACACATAGCCACTGGACCTGCGCATATTGGTTGTGCACACACACAAAGACACACACACACACACCCACACAGGCCCACAGAGCGACTTTCTATTCCGTAGTGGCGTCTCTTTTGCTCACATCGGCGAGCCAGGCCGCAACCACTGACACTTTGAAATGAACATCCTTTGTGTTTGTTGTACATGAAGCATCATTATGTTGGTCGCTCGGGCACTCAGTTGAGCTGGTCGGCGCTTGTGGGCGTGTGGGCGTGTGGGCGTAACGGCGTGTGGGGCAGCTGGTCAAGTGGCGCAGCTTCTGCATGACTCAGCCACACTGATTGGAGCATCAAGTACTCCAAGTTCTTAGACTCAATCATCTAATGCCGCATTAAAATATACCATTTCGATATTGAAAACCAATTGAAAAAGACTTGCATTCGAAGTTGAAATACCCTTTGCCTATGACAAGGAAATTGCCATATGATATAGACATAAGATGAGACCTAAGTGTTATAAATAAAGGAAAATATTTATAACACTTACCACTATATTAGTGACTTAAGTAATTTCAAGATGCAAGACTCTAGATTTTGAGATGGAAATGCAGGATGCGTAGTCAACCACATATTACAATATGGGGTCTTGATCAGAATCAAATCAGCAGCCAAATCGATTTAATCTTATTCTTCTATCTATGTGTATGTCCGTCTGTCTATATTCTGCTTATAATCTTCATTGAAATCAACAGTCAAGTCGATTATACGTACAGTCTCCTATACACAGGCAAGCCCAAGTTCATTTTGATAAATGATCGATAACTTCTTTAAATTTCATAAAATCGATCAAAATTGATATATTGAAATTGTAGAAACATATTTTAAAGATTTTTCATTTGCGAATTTTCGATAAATGATTTGATAAGTAATCGATAACTTCTTTCTTTCATAAAATCGATTAAAATCGATATCATATTGAAATTATAGAAACATATTTCAAACATGTTTAAAGCTGGATTTACGAAATTGGATTTTTTAGATTCTTTGAGCGATACAAATGGCTGCCATAGTTTTGATAGACTTCTCATAAGTCATGGACATAATATTAAGATATAGGCACTAAATTTGCTGTACATCTATTCAAATTATGTCGAGTATAAATATTTATTTCTAGGAATATTAAGAAAATGCAATAAGATAATATAAATAATTATAATTTGCATATGGCTGGATTGCCTCACCTTTAATATCATATATTTGCCGAAAAGATTTATGCCCCAAGCTTTCACTTTTAATGTGAGTGAATTTTACTCAGTTTCTGTTGTTGTTTACAAATAGTTCTTCCTTATTTTACATATTGTGTATTATAGCTAAGATACCCTTTGGAAGGACATTAATGCGCGCATGCAACAATTGTGCCCGAAAAAGACGCAATCGGCTGCGTGCCACCCTCTGCGAAATGCCACCCTCCTAACCAACTGACAGGCAGCTACATGGGCAACCCCCAAAATACAAAAAAAAAGTGTTTATATACACTGCCATTTATATATACACACACACACACATACATGCAGTGTCAAACAGGATGCATTTGTAGTTGTGAACCGAGTTTTGCGAGCTGCTGAGCTGCTGCTGTCAACGGCAACAGGATTCAGTTTGACTCTTTAGCTTTGTGCCGTTTGTCAGGACATCTCGTGGCTCGTGTTTTGTGTGTGGTTTTGTCAACAGTTGGGCTCAGTTGTGAATACCCTAAACGCCGGCACCTTCCAATTGACATTGTATCGCTAACAGATCCTTGGCGAAGACACCTTGCATACAGCACATGTTGCTCGGGCACATTGTAAGTAGTCAGCAGCGATGGGATCGTTGCGGCAATCGTTATCCTGCCGCATCCTGCTGCTGCTGCAGCGGCGCATCGTTTTACCAACTCGAAACCCCTGTCAATCATTATGAAATCATAATAAGTGCACACATAATATATATATATATATTTGGTCCTGTGAAGCGTACATAATTTAATAGGGATAATAAAATATTGTTCTGCTGTTGTCTGGCAGCGAGGGGAATTTCCGTGCCTTGCCTCCGGCTCCGCCTTGAGGTTTATTGTTAATCTCTCGGCCATTCAACCGGCTGGAACTAAGATACAAAAGAATTCGTTGCCCACAATAAGTTTCACATCATCATTATATCGTAAGAACAATTTAATAAACTGATTTCCTTTTCAATTGCAGCCATTGGGCAATTCATTCAATTTTAATTTATTTTGTATTGCGAATAAAGTTTATATACCAATTGTTAGTCTTATATATATTTTAATTTCTTTTATATCAAGTTGAAGGTAGCGAATTATGTTTTGGTTTGTTAATTTGTAGATTGTTATTGTTTGGATTAGAAGTTATATAAAAGCAAGCCTAAGACTGATGACAGAGAAAACCATTAAGCTCATTAGATCTATATATAAGTAATCAAAAAACTGATATAGCTTAAAGAACTATATCAAGACAACTTCAATTGAAAAACTTTTCTTAATTTTCATAATAAATAAGGTATTTTGTTGTAAGATAAAGATCTATTAAATTTATAGCTACGCTCATAGAGTTCTGTTCACGTGAAGCATGTTGACGATATCTTGACATAACTTTAAATGAATTTAGAAAGAGACTGTTAAAGTTTGTAAACTGTAGTGTTTCTAAGATATCTGAAGTAAACTTCATATGAGGAAAACCTCTTTAACAATATCATAAAAAATCTTAAAAAATATATGACAGACATTAAGAAGTTTAATTAAGTTAAACACAAACTATTCGATTAAGTTTACTAGTAAAACCTAGACTAAATATAATACTAAAAAGAAATATGGAATCTGTCCTCAGAAATGTTTTCTTAACTATATAATACTATGCCCAATCATTAGCAGCAGATTATTATATCATATAAAATCTTTCAATATACACATAAAAACTCAATTTCTTACTTAAGTTAACTAGAAAGTATGCCTTTCGGTCTACTAGTTATACCAGCCAGCAGATTTGACTGTAAAGGCATATTCTCAAGCGTATATGATATGCATATAATAAATGTAGACCAAATTATATAGTAGAGTTATGGAATCTATCTTTAGCAAAGCTTTCGTAACTTAATTCAAAGGCCTCTGAGATATTCTTATAAGTATAGGCTAAGTCTACGCAAATTAACAACGAACTAAATAGAGAAAGTTATGATGATGCTGCTGAGTTTAGATCAAATATATCTATCAGAGATTATACTCTTATAATATCTCAATTTCTTAATGAAACCTAACTCTAGGCTAGGAAATTAGTTAAGCAAAATCTTATTTTAAGCAACTTCTTGGGAAGAAAAAAGGCTGGCTTAGTTAGTAGATCTGCCTTAGACGTTGCACGGGCATCTTTGTTGCATTAGAGCACTGCAGGCAGCTATTATGTGCTTAAAAGCCAGTTGGATGTCCTTTGATGTTGGCATTTCGCGTGGCTGAGGATTTGGGCTTTGCTTGCTGTGCCATCATCAACTTATCTTTTGCGCGTTTTCAAGGAGGCGACGCGCATTTTCAATAGTTTTGGCTGCAGGGGACTTGGCCACAAGAGACCACAAGGTGCGGAGAGAGAGAGAGAGAGACAGAGAAAAAGTGTGATAGAGGGAGAGAGTGTGTGAGTGGGGCAGGGTAGTAGTAGTGGGCTTCAAGTGGCCAGCAAGAGCTTGGCGCATGCTATGGATATCTAGCTATAGATGTGTCTATGTGTGTGTGTGTGCCTATCTCGCGCTGTCTCTGTCGGCGCGCTTTGTGTATGTATGTGTGCGTGTGCCTCGTGTTGAGCGTTTTTAATTGTGCCTTTTGCTTTGTCCTTTTGGCTGTAATGGAGTGCTATGCAAATGGCGTTTTGATGAGTTTCCTTGGCTCTGGCGCTCTCTTTGTTGTCCCAGCAGACGTTCATCCCCCTTTATTACGCTTTTATCACTACGTGTGTGTGTGTGTGTGGAGGGAAGGGCTGCTGCTGCTGATGCTGCTGTTGCTGCCGCTGCTGTTTTCGTTATTTGTGATTGTTGTTGCCGCTGTTGTCGTTGCTCTGTTGTTGGCGACGACAGAGCGCTCTTATGTCGTCGTCGTTGTTGTTGTTGTTGTTGCTTTGACTGCCGAACGGAAGATGAAAAAAAATTTTGTTGATTTTCATGCGCGTCAGACAGAAGCAGAGCAACCACCACCGCCAAATCCTGCTATATATATGTATGTGTGTGTGTGTGTGTGTGTGCGTTCCATTTTCAAATTTCGTACATCACGGATTATTGTCCTTCCCTTTGGCATGGCCCATGTGCCATGCCCTGCCCTGCCCTGCCCTGACTGCTATATTGTATTGGTCGATAACGTGAACCAATCAAAAACGCTCTCAAAATGGCCGCCATTCAATTTTCTTCGATATATCAAATTATATACAACTAAATGGGAATTGCTTCGAGCCATATGGCTCGAGGGCAATGCAGCCGCTTTCCTCTGAGCCTTTCTATAGTCTGCATCTCTTCTTCTTATTATTAAGTTTTCCCTTTATATACACATAAGTTTGACTAGTTATTCAGCACATAGCTTAATGAAGGCAGTCAATTAAAAGTTTCACATTTCTGCAAATTGCATTGTCCTTTAACACGCATTTGACCCTATTTTTCTGCTTGAATGCAGTATTCGCTAATCGAAAGTTTTTTTATTAAATATATTATAATAATATACAAAATTATCAAAGTTAACGAGCTACCTTTCTTATTTATACTGTTCTTTAAGTAAATCTCGCAACCTTAGTCTTAATAATATTTGATATAATATTATCATGCGACTAAGTTTAGTAAAATAAAACCAAAAAAAAAAAGTATTTTTCGTAAAAATAAAATAGAAAATAAAGATGAAATCATCTTGAAACTGAATCATAAAATTATAATAAGTAATAAAAAAATATATTTTATTTATATCGAAGCACTGGAAATATCAAATATATATATATATTTTTTTTAATTGCTGTTTTTATTTGCAATCTGTCTTATACTAGACAATAAAAAATTTTTTTAACAATAATATTAAATATGAAATTAGAAGCTTAAACTTTATCGATTTAAGGCATTAAAAGTATAACTATTTATACTTATTTCATCATTCAGAATCGATAAATTTTGGTTTTTAAATTTTTACTAAAAAAAATATATATATATAAAACATTTTTATAAAATTAAAACTAAATTGGAATATAGAGTTTATATAGGCGAGACAAATATTATACTAAAAATGTTGCCCATAAAAAAATAGGCCAAGTTTTGGAAAATATATTACCCAGATATTTTCTCCTTGATATAATCATATCAATAATGTGATTTCCAAGCACCTCAAACTCTATATATATTTAATTAAATCTATTTGAAAAATCAATTAAATTTGAATGTTTTGATTTGGTTTCTCTTTCAGGCCTTGTCTAACTGCCTTCCAAATTCGCAAACGATATACATACACCAAGAGCATCTTCCATATCCCAAATATTTCTAAAATATCTGGCGTTTGTGATTTGTTAAAACACGTTTGATTGTATTAGGACTTAGAACTTAGGACTAGATAAAATATTAACACACAGCACAGCAACAGTCCAGTGTGGATCCACGGCAAAAGAAAGGAAAGGAAAGATTAGAGTGGCATGAGCCATCAATTGGGACTCCGGAAACATGGTGATAATGAGTGTAGTGGGCCACGACCACCTGTACCCGGAGAAGAGAGCCGAGTTAAAAAGGTAAGTGCCACGCTAAGCGCAACTAAACAAGTGATGTTTATTATGTGATCCGTACAGATGACCGAAGGGGTAATAGACACCTCTAAGAACTCACCTCCATCTTATCTAAACTGGGCCCGCACGCTAAATCATCTGCTCGAGGATCGCGATGGGGTGGAGTTGTTCAAGAAATATGTGGAGGAGGAGGCGCCCGCCTACAATGATCATCTCAATTTCTACTTTGCCTGCGAAGGTCTGAAGCAGCAAACAGATCCCGAGAAGGTTAAGCAAATAATCGGAGCCATATATAGGTGAGAGCATTAAGCTACATTTAATTAGATTTTATAAATTAATAATATAATAATAATAATAATAATAATAAAAATAACATTAAAATTAATAATAATAATAAAACTTATAATTAATTAATAATAATAATAATAATCCCATTTCATTCCTGCCTTAGCTCTTGCGTAATATAATATAGTATAATATAAACTATAATCTCTTCATTTTCCCAGATTCTTGCGCAAGAGCCAACTGTCTATATCTGATGAATTGCGCACGCAAATCAAGGCCATCAAATCGAATGAGATTCCGCTCAGTCCGCACATTTATGATCCCATGCAGCAGCATGTGGAGGCGACCATACGGGACAACATCTATCCGAGCTTCCTCTGCTCTGAGCTATACATTCAGTACATACAGCTCATGTCCGCTGTGCAGGAGCGCTGCAGCAGCAGTGGCGCCACAGCGACAGGCAGTGCGGGCAGCAGTGGCAGCGGCGGCAGCTGTGGCAGCAACAATGGCAGCACTGCCGGCGCCTGTGCTCTGCCGACGGCAGCAAGCAAACAACTATTGGGCGCTGGTGGGGCTAGCGGCGGAGCAGTTGGTGCATCAATTCCACCAGGCGTCTTCATCAATTTGCCGATGAGCAGCGGTGCAGCGCTTCCAGCTGGCACTTGCAGCGCCAGTGGCAGTGTCTATGGTCCATCAACGTCGGCTAGCTCCAGTGGTTCGATCAGTGCCACCGACACACTGCCGCGCAGCTCCACGTTGCCCACGCTGCATGAGGATTCGGTGCTGTCGCTATGCGATGATTTCGAGAAGGTGCACGTCGAGGGCGGAGGTGGTCGTGCCCATATCGATTTACCTATGCGTCTCACGCGCGATCTTCTGATAGCAACTCAGAAAAGAAGACTGGAAATTAGACCTCCCGGGTATGTAATTTGATACCATAGAAACTAAACCCCCTCCACATAATATCTATCTATGCTTGTTCGTAGAATTTAATATGTATATTATAGCATAGAGTATTATTAAAGCCCATTTAGCTTAAGTCAATAATCAAACTAAAAGCATGCAAATTTATATGCACAACATTTCCATAGGTCTTTCATCATTCAGTTTGTATTTCCTTATATTTTGTTAACAATCTACTGCTCTGTGTAAATGACGTTTCATTTTAAGGGTAGCTTTTAACAATGGCTATTCAAAATGGCTGAAATCGTGATGTTTAAAGTGGAAACAAGAAAAAGGCATTTCCAAAATCTATTCCTTCATGAAACGAAAGGTATATATTGGTGTTAGACCAGATCCGTCTGCATGAACTCAAGGCATTTGGATTAAAGACTTGTTGTCTTCTAGCGAGCTTAGATTTATTGTTAAGCTTAATGGCTCAGTTAGCTTGGGTAATCGAAAAAAAAGAACTGTAACTTTTAAGATAGAAATTTTAAATTATATACAGCTCGATTATTTAAAAGGCAGCTAAAGCATAAGGGAATTTCAAATAAGAATATTTAATAATATTTTAAGCATGAGTTAGTGTTAGAATATTATATTCTTGAATTGTATAGCAAATTAAGGCATTTAAGTTAATACTCTTAAGTGTGTCCACGCATTAAATGTTCTCTGTTAGCTAGTTCTTCAATACAGTCTCTCGTTTCCCACAAGTATAAAATATTTGGAACTCAAGAATTATATTCTTTGAGAATTGCGTAGAAAGGCGTTGTAAGAAGGGAGTAAATAACTTCAAACTAATAATCAATATATAATTATATTTGTATATTTGCATAAAATTATAAGCAATTTAGTCTTAAGTTGAGTTTATATCAATTTTTTAGTGTTTACTTTAGCTGAACTTAAGTTTTAAATAGTTTTTTGTTTGTTTCTAATATACATGCCTATATTCATTTATATTCTTTTATTAATTCTGTTAATTTTTTTAAATGCTTTCTTTTTATTTTCATAAACCAAAAACATTTTTGTACGATCACAAACCCACGAACCCACTTAAAAAACAACAACAACTACACAACCATGAAATGCGACACCCATCTACACACACAACAACAACAACACGGATTATTTCTCTACTTAATTTTTTGTATAAACATTTATTTAAATTATGGAACTTAAATTGTACATAAAAAAAAAACCAAAAAATTTTTCGCCGCATTGCATGGATCCATCATTTGCTCCTTCCCCATTTCCTTATGAATGTGTTCTGCATGATAATAGAGCTCATGGTTATGTGTATACTGCGAGCACCAATACATCCTTTGTACCAAACTCTCGCGTCGATTCGGAGAGGGCGAGCGTTAGCTCCGGCGGCCGCACCGACTCCGATACCATGTCGCTGTCCAGCTGTTCAATGTGAGTTTAGAAATAGTAACAGGGAGAAAGAGAGAGAGCGAGCGACTTCAGCTTCAGAAGACTAAGAAGAGTGATTTACATTTGTATTCCAATTATAAACTAATATTGAGCATCGCATTATTATTTCATTTGCTTGCAGGGATGGCCGCCCTTACATAGAGCGCAGACACAGCTCGACGGAGAGCAAAGCCATACGGCAAAGCGCCATGGCGAACAAGGAAACGAACAGCTTTCAAGTAGCTAAACCTTGAATCATTATGCCTATATATATTAACTAGCAATAACTTTTACAGGTTATACCCCGCACGCAACGATTACATTCAAACGAGCATAGACCGCTGACGGAAAATGAACTATTGGCTCTGCTGATACCCAAGCTGGAGGAGGTGAAACGCAAACGCGATTTAGAGGAACGTGCACGCTTAGAGGTTAATAGTTGAATGCATATATATATATTGAAAATATATTTATGACTAAAATCTGTTTATGTTTGCAGCGCATGCCCGGCACCTCATCGAGTGCCAGCGATCGCGCTTTTGCTGAGGCGATACGCGAAAAGTTTGCACTCGATGAAGACAACGACCAAGACATTTTGGACCAGCATGTGTCGCGTGTGTGGAAAGACCAGACGCCACATCGCTCGCCCGGCACAATGTCACCCTGCCCGCCTATACCATCGAGAAGACGCACGGCAACACATGACTCCGGCATGGTCAGTGATGGTGCCATGAGTCTGAGTGAGTTCTGTTCAAACATCTTATCGATTCATAAAGTTGATCTAATTGGTGTTCTTGTCTACAGGTGGACACTCAATGAAGCACTCAAAATCCATGCCCGATTCCAGTTCCTGCTCTAGGAAGCTAACAAATAAATGGCCTTCGATGAACACAGACAGCGGCATAAGCATGTACTCTGCTGACACAGTCATGAAATACAAGGAGTCAAGGTAGATTAAAAGAATCAGATTGATAAACAATTGTATATATTTAATTTTTGTTGTATTTGATATTTTGTGCAGCTCCCGGTCTGGTTCAAGTTCGGCATCAAAATTGGAGGAAGGAAAACGAAGACTGGAAGACGAGCCGCGTCGCTCTCGTCGTTATGCCCAACCGCAGCTACAATCCCATATGGTGGCCATGCAGCAGCAGCAGCAACAACAGCCATTATCTTCCTTCAGCAGTAGTAGCAGTGGCAGCAGTACAATGCATCATCATCAGCCTGCAACTGTTGCAACATGTCCACCGCCGCTGCCTATCAAGCCACCGGAGACGGTTGTTGTGTTCTCATTCTGCGAAGAGCCAGTTCCTTACAGAATTAAAATACCCGGTACTCAGCCGACCCTGCGCCAATTCAAGGACTTTCTGCCCAGAAGGGGACACTTTAGGTATACATTGACTGAGGGGTTTCCAAGCTTAACAATTTACTTATTTTTTGTATGGTATTTGCAGATTCTTTTTTAAGACGCATTGTGAAGACCCTGATAGTCCAGTGATTCAGGAAGAGATTGTTAATGACTCCGATATACTGCCGTTGTTCGGAGACAAAGCGATGGGTCTTGTCAAACCATCCGATTAAACATTAAGCATTAAGAATAGATTTTGTATTTAAGCTAAATTATGAAATGTGAGGGAGGGAGGGGAGTTAAGAATGATGTATGGCTTGTACGTGCATCTTAGAGATACAAACTCGAGAAGCTATTCCCAGAAATCAAAACTTAAATAGAACTAACTGTACATTCAATAGGCTTTTGCAAGCATCACAAACTATTGTACGTGGGGGATCTGTGGGGGAGGAAGACTGGGACTGGGACTGGGACGGGAACGGGAAAGGGGGAAGCGGGCTTATGGGGTAGTGGTGGGGAGGAGCAATGTGTTTCATCATTTCGTCCTTAACATCTGGAGGTATTTTTCTAAATAAACATATGATTAACGATAATGAATTAACACCGAAATCAATTTGATGTATATGTATATGTATATGTATATGTATTTGTTATAAGTCGAACAACGCGAATCGTACATTTACGTATATATGTATTTATGATATTTTGTATATGTTAACACATAAACTCAACGAAGATCCTGAAAATTAAGTCAAAAACTTTGTATATCCCACGTACCAAACACACACACATACACACAAACAATAGAAATTATTGAGCACAGCACAAAAATGCAAATTAAATAATTGATAGATGGAAAAAATTAAGAAAACAATTTGATGGGTATTCCTGAATTTGGATTTGTTTGTTACTTTTTACTAACTATGGACTGCCTGCAATAAATTTTGTTAATATTTTTATAATGTGCATTTTATGATATGATGATATTAACAAAGTTCTATTCAACTTGACGAAAAATCAAAATATAATCTGTTTTATTTTTGTATAATCTATTGTACTACATATTAGAATGTATGTAAATTTGAATTTATGTATTTATATATATACACAAACAAACACACACACACATACACATCTATGCATATATCTATATGCATATTGTGCTTTCGTCTATATTATATATTTATATATATATATATATATATATATATATATATATATATACCATTGGACACAAATTTCTTTTGATAAACGATGAGTGCTAATTGCTCCAATAGTTGCATAATTGCTTAAAATATTAATTGATTAGTTATACTTGTATAAGTTATCAGAAAACCGAAAACAAAAACAAAAGCAAAAAAAAAAACAAAAAACAAAATACAAAATAATAAAATAAACAATACAATAAATATTTTTTTAAGAAACCGAACATAATATCGCAGAAATATGAAATTAATGCATACATTTATAATAGTAAACAAAAAGCATATTTTATTTGTGAGCAAACTGCATGTAGATCTAATAAAAAAACAAACAAATCAAGTACTTGAAATTGACATTTGAATCGAATTTATTTTTATTTAGCTGTATGAATTGTGAAAGCCGTCCCAGCACATAGTAAACATAGTGCATATGTACAATTTGTAAACAAAATCATGTGAAACGCTAGACTGGCGTACAATCGTCCCGCTGGCAATGACTTAAATAGTTCTGTTCATTGATGAACGTGTGCGTGCATTTGGGGCAGTGGAAGCGTCTGTGTCGATTGCTGCCCGGATTCTCGTGCTCTCGAAGATGCGCCTTCATATTGTACATTTGGGAGAAACGCTTATTGCATACAGGACAGGCGAACGGTTTGGCTCCCGTGTGGGAGCGTGTATGCCGCTCCAGATGGGCTTTGGTGCGCGTCTTGAAGCCGCAGACCTGGCACTCCAGCCGCTTCGATTCGCTGTCGTGGATCATTTTGTGCTTATACAGCGCCACCTTATGAACGAAACGTTTCGAACAGACCTCGCACTGATACGGCGTTTCGCCTGTATGCCATGCCATATGATGTTTCAGTCGAAATTTGCGACTAAAACGCTCGCCACAATGGGGGCACTCAAACTGTTTGACTGGCTCATGGTTCTGCAAGTGACCAATGAATCCTGAATAGGATTGCAACGTCTTGCCGCACTGATCGCACACATAGCCAGGGAAATGTTCACGTTTCGTGTGCGCATTGTATGCTCGACGACTGCTGAACTGTTCGGGACAGTTTGGACATTGTATGTTTACCGTATAGTCGCCCGAACTGTCCTGATCCTCTGCATCTGAGATTAGGTATTCGATAGTGCCATCCATTTGATCCTCGAACTCACTTAACATATCCTTGTCCTCTCTAAACATTTCCATTTCATCGGCTGTTTGCTTCGTCTCATCATCGTCCAAGTCTGCTTCAGGCACCTCTTCATTTATAATTATCTCATTCTCAATATCTAATTCCAAGTCAACCGCTTGGAATTCCTCTTCCTCACAATCGGAATTCTTCTCTATAAAATCATGCTCCTCTTCCACCTCCTCCTCTTCCTCCTCCTCCTCCGTCACCACCGTTGGATCCACAATTGTCGGCTTAACAACTGGCATCGCATCTGTTCCGTCATCCAAATCAGCTGCATCCACAGTCTCGACCATTTCGACGCTGATGCTGCCATCAAATTTTTCAGGGTCATCGCTTTTGTGTTCACTTCGTGAGATCGCCGATTTGAAATCCTTGATTATAAATGGACTTTGTATTAGTTCGAGAATTTCCTGACGCAGTTTCCGCGCGATTTGTAGGGATTTGTGATAGCGAGACAACTTCTCGCAGCATTTCTTGCATATTGTCGAGCCCACCTCGCCGAGCACATAGTTCGTGCCCTTCGTGCATTGCACGACCAAGTCGCTGATTAAAATGGGCGGCTTTCCAATCGTCTCCTCGTATATGTTTTTTGGGTTGCGCACAGAGAACTGGCAAATGCAACAATTCATTTTCGGAATTTTATTTAATTGAATAATGAATATTTTTATAACAAATATCAAAGCATTAAATTCTGCTTGCCGAAAAACATAATTGTTCAATACTATCAAGCAGTGTTGTAAGCGCACGAAACAATTGAGTTTTGTCGCGTTTCCACTGTTTCTCGAAACGTGTTGAAGCGAAATTTTTGTCATCTCCACTGAAATCATATACAATTGAATAAAAGACAGAATTGCGCTTAGCACAGTATGTTTGTTTACTTATTTTCATGCTAATTCAAATTTTAAACAATATTTGAAAAGATATTTACTAAAATTTTCATTTTTACCGACCAACAGTAATTTTATAGTCCTTATATTTGGGTGTGCCCAACAATATTTGTTTTGTAACGGTATGATCAGCTCTTCCAAAGGTCTATAAATTAATATGATGTTATACATATACATATATGTATATATACATTTATTAAAACACTTACTTCGCATTTTCCCTGAATTGTCATCGTGCGTGCCTGCGGGTCGAAATCCATAATACCACCACCTAAAGCTCTAGAGCACAAACCAAGGCTTTCCAGTTCATCTCTTACATTGTCATAAACGTATACTAAGAATTGAATTGCAATTAGATTTTGAAATACACCTATATAAAAAACAAACTTACTATGCTTTTTGGCACGCGCTCCGTGAACAATTGTCCGGGAAAACAGAGTTTCACCGTGCATATAAATTGAAATCAGCAGATAAAGAATTTTACCATTACTTAATAATTTCACTTTTGGATAGTTAATAAGATTCTGCGTTGTCGTCTTAGTTGCATGATTCCTCGCTAAACATTGAAAGCAATTTAAAAATACGAAAAGCAAGATACACTTATATACATAACTTACAAAGATTATTTAAAACATTACGAATTGGAAGTATTAACTGTGGCATTTTCATTTTTTATTATTTTATTTTCCAAATTAAGGTGTGAGCACAATTTTGGTGGTTTTCAAATCTGTGTCTAAATAGTAGAAATTGTTTAGCTCGACTGATTTTTATAATTTCAACGATACCAAGTTTACTCAAACATTTTTCTTATGTTACTTTGTTTGAAAAAAAATGGACACCTGTTTATCTTTATATTCAAATATAGACAGTATTTGATAGGATAAAGGTATTTTCAAATCCCTTATACTATATATTTCGTACAGACGCGAATAAATCAGGCGCAAGGCTAAACTTAAAGTTTCATTCTTAAATCTGCATAATAAACAATCCCTAAGCATTACACAGTTTAATGTAGGGTAGCTTTTGCTCAAAAGAAATACAATTTTAATTTATAAATTATTCGAATTTGCACACAAAAAAAAACCAAAATAATTAATATCCCTCATCGGTCGTTTCGATCTCATAGTCCTTATATTTCGTTTGCAAAATTCGTTTTGATTCCACATGATCAGCTTTGCCAAAACCCTGTCATAAAAATAAATATAATTATATATTTATAAAAAGCAAATTACTATATGAATTTACCTGAGAAAATCCGTAAACTTTCATATACTTCTTGTCGGGGTTATGTTCAATGCGCCCCCCGCCCAAGCATATGGAGTCCAAGCCGGTCTTCTTGCAAACCGCCATTGTGCGTTCATAGATATCAGCTAAAAGGCACATATAGAATAAGAACAAATTATATTCTAATAGCAAAAAATAACAAAATAAGAAGGCTTACAATGAAATTCGCAATCAGCATATCCACGAACTACAAGTTTTTCGTTCTTTTCGACGCAATCCTCGTGGCCAATAACTTTAATTAGAACATATTTAAAAATACCTTTTTTGTCTACATCTACCAAAGGTATTGACTCAAGAGCTTTTTCAGTCATTTTAAGTAAACGTATTCCTTCAGAAAATGAAAAAAGTCCTTGTTAGTACAACCGATTGGCCAACTTCATACTTTTTATATCTTACCGCTAGGACGTAAAACAGCTGATTTTCGCAATTTATTTAAGACACTTAGCATTTTCTCTAGAAATGACAAATATTGTGATCCGAATACCTTTAAATATCGCAGACAAAATTAGTAACTGTGACTTTCGAAAAGTGACAAAGAACCAAATTCATATTTGACGCTTGATTCTACCTTAACAGTGACTATAATCACCATTTAGAAGTTAAAAAAGGAGATAGTACTTGGATGTATTAATAATTCTTGTCTCAGCTAACGATAGTATTCTGTTCTTTACTGATCCTTTCAGTCAAGTATCGATAACTTTTTCGCCATAGTATTGCACGCTGTTAGGTGGTGGAAATGTTAATGCAGTTGCTTATCGCTGTTAAAAATAAAACAGCTGACGGCAATCCTCTGTGTACAGAACTCGGGAACAAGAAAAAGTTTTTTGTTATTAAAAAGCAAATACATAGATGCCAAGTAAAGAACCACTGGATAATTAAATTTAATTACATACATATAAAATGAGCACAACACGTCCGTTCTGTTTTGTTTGTGGCAAGGTCAAGTCTGTTGGCGTCTTTCAGCTCATCGAAGGCAAGTTTGAGGAACCACAAATGAAAGAGTTGCAATATAAATACTAATTATTTTAGGTTGCATAGTCCCGGGCACATTTAAGCCCATTAAAGACATACTGAAATACTTTGAAAAGGTAATTAATCAACGCTTGGATCTAACACCCACATCGGCTGCTTGCAATGATTGCCTCGAATATCTCTTCAATTACGACCGGCTCGTTCGGAACCTGAGTCAAGTGCAGCGACAGATTGCAAATTCTTTGCTAAGTTGTCGCAAAAAGAAAGCGCCATGTTTGCAGCCCAAGAAAGATGCCGTTAAACCTAAACCGCAGGAAATACGCTCAAGAATCGTAGAAAATGAATCTCCGCAGAAGGTCGTTAAGCAGGAGCCAGATGAAGATTTTCAGGATTTCGAAGAGCCACACCAAGAATCTCCATTTAGCGAGAGCGAGGAGAGCATGGACGATTCGGATGGCGATGATAATTTAGATATACCATGTCACATATGCGGTGAATTGTTTTCAAATCAGGATTGTCTCGAAAAGCACATTAAAACGGACAATTGCCAGAAGAATGAATTTGCCACCTGCAACATATGCGGCATTAAGGTGAAGAACGATGAGGTTCTCGATCTGCATATGAATCTGCATGAGGGCAAAACGGAGCTGGAATGTCGCTACTGTTCGAAAAAGTTCTCGCATAAACGAAACGTCTTGCGCCACATGGAAGTGCATTGGGATAAAAAGAAATATCAATGCGAAAAATGTGGCGAGCGTTTCTCATTATCCTGGCTTATGTACAATCATCTAATGAGGCACGACGCCGAGGAGCATGCCCTGATCTGTGATGTTTGCCATCAGCAATTCAAAACGAAACGCACCTACAAGCATCACCTGCGCACCCATCAAACCGATCGCCCACGCTATCAATGCTCAGACTGCGAAAAGTCTTTCGTAGACAAATATACCTTAAAGGTGCACAAACGTGTCCATCTGCCAGCTGAGTCAACAAAATCTGCCACAGAAAGTCATGCGATTAATCTCTAAACACCTTCTACTTTCATTTCAATTTTAGTGCATGCATATGAAGACAATTTGTGTGTATTATTTAATATATTTGAAATATATTTAGGGTTTTAAAGACTGTTTAAGTAACTGATTTGAGCTGCCATTGAGATCAAGCTGTGGCTTTTCTTATATTATCGAATCTACTAAAGCAAAAACATTCTTTTCAAATTGATTTTCTACAAAGTAAAATAAAGTTTGTTCCATAATTTATGTTATAAATTAAATCAGTTTAGAAAGTAAATTAATGAAAGAACTGCAAAAACAAAAAATACATTTTAATAAAACGCTAGATTTATTTATGATGAAAGTAAGTTAATAATAAAAATGTATCATCTAAAACTGTTTAAAATTGCATAATTTTTCAAAATTATTTATGCCAAAAAATATGTGATTGGCTGAAACATACATTTGTGTTCATAAAAATAGTAGTAAATGAGAATGTTTAACCAACTGTTTCAAGTTGGTCGGAATGTTTCATTGTTTAAGCCGAAATTTCAAGTTGATCCTGAAAAAGAATGGTTAAGTTGTATATATATGTAGTTCTAGCTAGCTTAAATTGGCAATGAATGGATTTACCAGCGTATAATCCATACGTGAAACAGGTAGCAATAGGTAGACTGCCATAAAATGGCAGATGTTTCAACCAGCTGCAGGTCGGGCAGTAGCTTACCTGCCTATACATTCCAATATCGGTCATATATTCTATATATAGCCAAAGCAGATACGATATTCGGCTTCAGTTGAGTTTCGAGTGTTCAACGGCTATGGATAAATTATTTCTGCAACTGAATGTGTGCACGGAGTTGATTGAAAAGTTAACAAACCTTGAGTCGTTAAATAAGTTTTGTGCCACATTTCACGAGTTTGCGACTAAATTGAAAAACTTTTTGCCCAAAACGGAGGTGGATGGATATAGTAAAATACACGTAGAGACAATTTATCTATGTTTCACGCAAATCATCACATGTATTACTCAATTGGAGCGGACCATTAATCTGGAGGAGTCGCTAGGAGCGACAGGTGGCACCCATCTGTTGTTAACTCGAACACATTTCCGGGATCGCATCGAGTGGTGTTTGCGTCGGCTGCAAGCTTCGATCTATCAGCTCAATGAGGAGGCTATAGCCAGCACTTCAGTTAAACTGGAGGATTTGTCGTTTGTGGAGCTATTGGACTTGGCGCTCGATAAATTGGAGAGCTATAGCGACATAGTCGAGCAGGATGACAATTTTAATGCTGAAGATCACCTTCAGCTAGTTGGTCAAGTGAATCATATTGTCAGGCATGCCTTAGCCTTTGCCAATGTCGCACTCGAGTCGGACAAAAAGGCTTTGATTGCCATTTGTGAAACGGTTGTGGATGAAAGTGCCGCCTTTGAGAAGAACTTTGAGAAATATAATCGAAATGAACGCAAATTGGAAGCCTTGTCTCTGCAAAGAGCTCTCTACTCCGTGGAAACATATCTTAATGAAGCTTTATTGCGCTTGATCTTCAGCAGCCTGGGGGAGGCCACATATGTGAGTGAATTGAAGAATGCTTTTCAGCAGAGCGATTCTTCGATTGATTTGGACAAACTGATTTGCGATTTTGACATCAATGTGGATCGCATACAACAGATTGGCGTCTTTGCCATAGCCTTTACACAGGATGTGAAAACGAAGACAATCATCAGAAGCTGCTTGGCCTCGTTGGAATCTTTGGATGCGTGCATTGTGCCCGCATTTCAATTCCAAGCGACGTCCGCTGCGTCTTATCATGCAGATATTCTGGAAAATCATTTCAAAGAGGAGCTTGTGACGTTTCGTAATGTAGTTCATGAAATAATTGATAGTCGAGCCTTACTCAACAACTATTTGGATATATTGGACGAGAGTATTGACAATGCAGCGAAACTCTATCCCAAAGGCCATTTACTGAAAGTAACCCAAATGGGAAATGTATTATTCGAACACTTTCAGCTTAAGGTGAACTGTCAAGAGCTCAAAGACAGTGCCGAAGGCCAGCGTTTGCATCAGGATTTTATTGCCATTTTACGCGAATGTCAGGCCGTCCTTGATGTATCCATTCGAGTGGATCTCAAACGTATTGTAAAACGTTTAAAAATTTTTTATTCGGTTTTAGCAAAACTACGCGATCTCTGTGATAGACTAGTGTACCAGAGATCTGTCTGCAACAATGAGAAGCCCATGACGACATCAACGAAATTAAAAAATTTCTCTCATTCATTCCATAATCTGGAAAGGGAAAATACTATTGTAAACAAATCGTTGAATTCATTAAATCATGAAAGTGATCTTTTAAGTTTTCACTTGACTGAAATTTTGCGTATTAGCTAAGCTGCAGGTTAAAAATACGAAAAATGTAATTGATTAATTGTAAACGTTAAATAAAATAATTCTAGTGTGAAATTAACGTATTTTGCTTTATTTAAAAATGGTTCAGGGTTGTGCCCACTTAAAACCGATGACCATAATCCAAACAATTTTACACAAAGTGTATGCTAACTGACTTACGATTTAAATTTAATGTCACTAACAATAAAGAAATAGGAAAATTTATCTGCATTTATGTCAATTATATGGAAAATTATAAATAAGATTTTTTGCCGCAGCGTGGCAGCCCTACAATAGTATTGTTAGGCCAATGTTGGGTAATGGCTATCGTTATGAGATCTACAAAGTATCGGCACGTCATCGATTATTTTGCAACGCTGCACCCAAGCACAATTAGGTATCTAGAAAAGGTTGATTAATAAAGTTAAGAAATCTCTAAAAGTGTTCGCACCCGCTAAAATATTATCATATCGGTCCATCCCTAAAATACTTACATCCCTAAATCCAAACGGCGATTTTTGTAAACATTTGCCACACACAAAAAAACAAACGAAGGCAATTATTTAAAAACCATGAATACATGCTTCTTTTGCGGTGCCGTTGACATACACGGCACTGCAAATTATGAACTGCTCACAGCCAAGGTGCCTTCGTCACACAAATCGGTGTCGTTAGTGCTCACTCACCTCGCTAACTGTATGAAAACCGAAATCAAACTTAGCACAAATACAAAACTTTGCCCGCGGTGTTTTAGTGAATTGGCCGAATATGATACCATAATGGTTAATTTAATGGTTACACAAAAGAAGCTAACAACTCAATTGAAAGCGGCATTAAAATCGGAATACGAAGACGATGGACTGGTCGAGGAATTGGATAAAACCGCACAAGATGATGCTGAAGCGGAAGCATTATTTGAGGAGCTAGTTAAAGATGAGGAAGATATGGATATGGAAATAAAGGAGGAATACGACGATGATGATGATGACGACGAAGAGTTCCTGTGCGAAAGTAAATCCGATGCTGTCTCCGTCAAAATGGAGGATGAGTCCGAAGACCAAGGTAAATTTATGCCAAAGCGCGTCAAACAGGAATGCAGCACCTGTGGTAAAATCTTCAATGCTCGCTATCAATTGCAAAAGCACATCAGCGAGGAGCATAACAAAACACAGGCTCACGTCTGCCCAATCTGTGGAATTATACGCCGCGACGAAGAGTATCTGGAATTGCATATGAATGTTCACGAGGGGAAAACAGAGAAACAGTGCCGCTACTGCCCCAAGAGTTTCTCACGGCCAGTTAATACGCTGCGACACATGCGTATGCACTGGGACAAGAAAAAATATCAATGCGAAAAGTGCGGATTGCGATTCTCACAGGACAATCTCCTCTACAATCATCGCCTGCGCCACGAGGCGGAGGAGAACCCAATTATATGTAGTATATGCAATGTCTCATTCAAATCGCGAAAAACTTTCAATCATCATACGCTCATCCACAAGGAGAATAGGCCACGGCATTACTGTACCGTCTGTCCAAAATCGTTTACGGAACGTTATACACTTAAGATGCATATGAAGACACACGAAGGCGATGTGGTCTATGGCGTTCGGGAGGAGGTGCCCGTGGATGATCAGGTGGTTGAGGAGCTACAGGTCGATGTTGATGAATCCGAGCAGGCTGTCACAGTTATAATGTCTGACAATGACGACAATTCCGCCGGATTCTGTCTTATATGCAGCACGAATTATGAGAACAAGAAGGAACTGGAGCATCATTTACAAATCGATCATGATGTCGTATTAAAATAAATAGCATTTAAACACCCTAATCTAACGCATATTCAACTTTCAATTTTAAAAATTTAAGAAACTGAAGCATAATAATCCTAGTTTTTATAGGCTGGAATAAATTCTTGACATGACTTATTTTTCAAATGAAAAGCTTCTATGTATAAATATTGCATATTTCAAATAAAAAATAGTTCGATTAAAACAAATCATATTCAAATTTTTAAACGGGAAAGGAAAACCCAGTAAATAATTGATTATAACAAGGGAACCTTTGAGCATGTATAAATCTACTGTAACCCAGACACAAATAAACAATTATTAGAAATATTCACTTGTAACGTTTCAAATAGTTGTATTCCGACTACGTTTATAAAAAACTCTGGTAAGTGAACTCCAATCTTAAGCTTATTCGTTCTCCTGGGAGCGCAGGCGGCCGTTGGGGTTTGTTAGACGCACAGACAGCTGCTTGGCACGCTCAACGATTTCCTTGCGTTTCTTTGAGGAGACACCATGGGCAATCTCACCGCAGTAGACGCGATTCTGCATCAGCAGCACCTCCAACTCACGCACATTGTGTACGAGGAATTTCTTGAAGCCAGTGGGTAGCATGTGGCGGGTGCGCTTGTTGGAACCGTAACCAATGTTAGGCATCAGATATTGGCCCTTGAAGCGACGACGTACTCTGTTGTCAATACCCTTGGGCTTGCGCCATTTGTGCTACAATGCAAATACATAAAAGTTAATAATTGAAATCCTTTGCTTATATTTCATATTGAACTTACCGACAACTTGGCATATCGATCCGACTGGTGACGGATGAAGTGCTTGCTGCGCTTCTTAACGATCTTGGGCCGGTATGCTGGGCGAATGGTCATTTTGGAGCTGTAATTAAAAAACAAATCCTTATTAGCATTCGATTCTTATTGAATGTCAACAAACTTTGACTGAAGTAAACACTAAGATCACTTTGTTCAATTGAAATTTTAGCGTCTTTCACATTTGGAATTATTGAGTAAACGATTTAATCTAAATTAAATCAACACTTTAAAGTGATGTTTAAGAAAATTATAGATTTTAAGAATTGTACGAACCGCTTATATGCTAAGAGCACGTCAAAAAGAGAGAAAAAAGACGCGAAGTTGGCCGCGCTTGACAGTTGTCAGCGCTGACACTGTCATTAGAGCTGCCAACTGATGTTTCCGTTTGACATTCACAACCCATCATTCAGACTTGATATTCTGATTATTGAATTTTAATTTGACTATAACATCTACATAGTAAATAAAAATATATATATACATTTTTATGTAACATAAAACGTAGGCTTATGATTGTATGTTATAAATAGCTTAGATACACATGAAATATATACTAGGTTTAATGCGATTTTGTGCTTTTTTATTTCATTTAATCATTAAGTTTTAAAATATTTTCAAAATTAATATAGTTTCAAGCATTGTCTATAAAAGATAAGAAATCGTATAGTTGCTTGTACTCCTAACTATTAAGCCAATCAGCACATGCATATGTTATCGAGTTATCGATAAGAATTAGAAGTAAAAAACAGTGTTGTCGCGTTACCTGCGATCGGAAGTGTCTGAGAACTATTTATAAATACACAGGAATAGGAGCCAAAAAATAAATCTTTCGTAATTAAGAATCACATCAGAAACTGTTAGAACGGCTTATAAGTACGGTGTGTCAACGATGATGTCACCAATATAATTATGCGCAAGTCTCGACCACACTGCATGTTCGCCGTACTATAACTTTCAATTCATTATATAATTAAACGAATTCAATGTGAATGAAAAGACCAAAACAAAGAGATCAAACTCTACAGGAAGTGTGTGTAATTGAGGGCTACTACCATAAACAATGGTAACAAGGTAGCATATGCGTACGCGACGCAGGCAACAGAAACGGCATCAACTGCAGCAACATGAAAGTCGATGGCGTTCTGGATAAGGACGACAGCGAGATAGCTAATTCGGAGCTGACGATAACAGCAGCAGCAACAAAAGCAACAGCAGCAGCGGCAGCACCAACAACAACAGCAGTAACGTCAGTAAAAGCAGCATATGATGTTCGTTCTGCCAGCCATGAAAACATCTTTCTGGATCGATTCTTTGGCGCCTTCCAATGGGAGGAGTTTGCATGCGGTTGTGGTTCGGCTTTTGTCAACATCTGCGTCACATACCCCATATACAAACTAATTTTTCGACAAATGCTGCATGGCGTACCAGTCAGCTCGGCGATGTTGCAGCTACGTCACGAGGGTCTCGGATTTCTCTATCGCGGCATGCTGCCACCATTGGCACAAAAGACCATATCTTTGTCCATAATGTTTGGCGTTTTTGATGGTACACGACGATATCTAGTCGAGGATTATCGCTTCAATGATTACGGCGCCAAGGTAATTGCCGGCGTTGTCGCGGGCAGCGCCGAATCAATTTTATTGCCATTCGAACGCGTGCAGACGTTGTTGGCCGACTCGAAGTTCCATCGCTACTTCTCCAATACGCCGAATGCGTTTAGGTGAGTGCAAAAGAAATTCTTTTTTTTTTGGTGCTCACATTAATTATTCTATTTTTTTGCAGATATGTTGTCACGAATTATGGTTTTCGGGAACTATACAGAGGCATTGAACCAGTATTTTGGCGCAACGGCTTATCGAACGCATTGTTTTTCATGCTGCGTGAGGAGGCTAGCGTTCGCCTACCGAAGAGGGTAAGTAGTTTGAGATATATCAATGGAAAGCTGCAAAATTGAAGATAAATGTGCAACAATTCGAGTTAATCATATGTTATCTAGCCAATTACCTTGGAACTTCATGTAAAATTCATAAAAATTTTTCCACTGAGCTAAGATTCAATTTTGCAGCTTTGCTTTAGCTTTTACATTGTCTATTAAAGAATTTACTTTAATCGATATTGTTATGTCTTACAGAAATCGGTGTCGAGCAGAACTGCACAAGAATTTATAGCTGGTGCCGTGATCGGTGCTAGTATTAGCACATTATTTTATCCTCTAAATGTGATTAAGGTGTCGCTGCAGAGCGAGATGGGTCAAATAACTGAGGGCAGTTGGCATGCCTGCAAGAGGATTTATCGGGAGCGAGAGAGTCGAATTGGCAACTTTTATCGGGGCTGTGCATTCAATACGGGTCGCTCCTTCATCAGCTGGGGCATCATGAATACGGCATACGAGAACCTCAAAAAGTTGATGAGCCAGCGCGAGCTGCAGCCACAGTTGACGGCAATGCAACGCTGAACTATGTCTTACGTATTACGTAAACTACAACTATAACTAATCTAGTTGAATAAGCTTAATGTATACGTACACAAATGTTTCCTTCTGCCCTTAACTAGCAAATTTTTCGTTTTTAAGTCATATTTAAGTGGTTGTTCCTTAGCATTGCGAGAGCCAAGTTTTTTTGGCCCGTCAATATATGGATTCAGCCCGCAGACCGATAAAAGTTAGACCTTTCATATACCATATCCACACATAAATGTATTTTTTTCGTTTTGGTAATTGCATGATAGACTGTAAAAGCTGAACTTTGACTTTGGCTTTGAAAACCAACGAAATTGCAACGGCAATGGCCAATAATTTGTCAAAAATTTGTCTGGCTAGGCGCGAGTACAATAAATGTGAGCATTTAATAAGCCCAAAAGAAAACATATTTAACTAGTTAAATTAAATAACTGTATATACAAAACATTTTACGATGTAACCGAATTATGTCTGTTAATGTATATACGACTTGCGTGATGTTTACGAAATTAATAAATTTATTCAATGTATTTGCAAAGATTTTTTGTCTTTAAATATGTATTGGGTGATATTTGAAATTAAGCTATGCATTTAATTTGTGTACTCATACAACTATTATTTATATATATTTTATATTATATATGTATATGTATACTTATTAACTTTTTCTTAATTGCTGAAAGCTGGCTTTGACTATTGAAGCTGAGTTATTTAGGCTTATATAGGAAACTTGTCTTGGAGAGCATTCGCATTAAGTGGGATATATTATATTTATTAACATATAAGTTTACAAAATATAGTACTATTCCTAAAGCTTGAATATTAATATTTAAAAATTCTTAAATTTTTTTATAATTATTTTAACTAACAAAAAATTTCAGATAATTAAAATTTTTTTTTAGCTTTTGAGTTTAGTTTTTCTTTAGTCATATCATATATATACATCTCGTTTACCTATTCATATCTATATCTTCACTTTCCCAACTAGATAGTAAAACAACAAACAAAAATCTTTTATATTTCTCTAAAATATTTCAGCATTTTCATATATTTATCTGGACATTCTTAATGCAATACGGATAGAGTTAAGTTCTATAACTAATAAAAATATATGTTTATATATATAAATTATTTACATAGAATTGAAAAAAAATTACTACACATATCACAAAAATCATTAAATTGAACTCTTAGTTATAGGCGAGCTAACGTTTCTTGAGCGAGCTTCGATATCTTTGATAGAAATCCTCCATAGCTCTGTATTCGGGCTCCAGGATATCGGGAATTTCTTTGTCCAATGAGGCAAAGTAGATCATTTCAACTGAGCAGCTGCCACGCAATTCCTGTTCGTATTGTCGCAGCTGCTGGAAGAACCCGGAATTGGGTCTGACTTGTGGTCGTATGGATTGGACGTGCGTGTAGGCCTCGCGAAGGCTCATGCCAGCGTATTTCATGAGGTAGGCCAAGCACAGTGAGGCGGAGCGACTCACGCCGGCCACGCAGTGCACCAGGGAGCTGCCGCCACTGAGCCGCACCTCCTCGATCAAATCGGCCACTTCGTCGAAATGGGCTGCCAAATTGACGCCGGCTCGATCCTGTGCATTGATTCTCAAATACAGCGGATTGCTTAAGCTGGAGAGCGGCGTATCTGGCAGTTCGGGCGCCACGTTGACAACACAGCTGACGCCCAGCTTGTCCAGGTGGGCGGGCACTACAGCTGCCGCGCCGCACAAATAGAGCGCCGGCGTCAGCTTTGAGATGCCCGGATAGGGAGTGTGATCCTCGAGCTTTGTTTGACTGCAATCAAATAAAATGAATTAAAAGTTTTAAATGCATTCATTTTGGAAAAAATAATATTTTATATATTTTATAGATCTTAAAATTGAAAACATTAAATTAAATTATTATAATAATTTTATGTTATTATATTTTTGATTAAAAAATTTTCTCTGCTTTGGTCAAAAACTTTTTAGTTTCAGAATCCAATTTCAATTCCTTAATTAATGCATCCCACCTGACCACAAAATATATATATTACTTAAAACAAAACCTACATAATATCTTTAATAACAATTAGTCACCGGATATGCTATATGCATACCCTAAATATACCGCTATTTTATGTTTAGCAACTAATTGCTAAGCATTTAAAGCCTAAATATCAAACAAGCTGTCAACAGTAAAAACATATTTCATCTTTTTGTCGTTCGGCAAAATAAAAAATCAAATTTCAGCAAACTTAAGACGTAAATAAAATATATATAAATATATACATATTTGAGTTGCTTAAAAATGAAAAACAAATAGAATCTCAGCGCAGTTCCCTGCCCCCTGGCAAGCTTTTATGAATGGGCATTAACGTCTCTCTTGGCATTGTTGTTGCTGTATTTATCTGGTTGATCTACTGTATCTGTATCTATGCACGTCATTGTTTTTTCAGCACCTACGTCGAATACTACAAAATAATAAACATATGAAGACATTAAACAGATGTCGTCTCTCTATCTCTCTCTCCCTTTCTCTCTTCTGCATATCTTTATATTTAACGGTATATATTTATAAGAATTTTGTTTATAATTAGTTCACTGAATGAGTTTATTTTTTATTTTTCTTGGTTTGATAATGCGCCATATATAAATAGAATTGATTTATAAAGGTGTTCAATAGGTGAAAAAGAGAGAGAGGATAATTTAGACATATCAAAAAATGTGTTGAACACCTATTCGAAGGGAAATTAAATAAATATTATCAAGAATTACGTGTATAAAATGCAATAGTTTTAACTAAAGTAAAGTTGTGAGTCGAACCCCAAAATAAAATCATTTCTAAGACTTGAACAAGCTTTCAATATATTTCTGAACTTTTAATATAGTTAGATTTATTTTTTATTTAATTTTATTTATATTATTAATAATATAATAATACATAGTTTTTTATTTATTATGCCAAATATTTTTTTTTATAGGAAAACATATTTTTTTTATATATATTTCTGAATTTTAAATATAGTTAGATTTATTTTTTGTTTTATTTTATTTTATTTAGTTTTTAATAAATAAATGAAAAAAGAAACGCCCACTAAAACCGTGGTAAGGGTGTTAGAGTTGAAGTTTGGACTATATATATATATATAGTTAACCCAAAACCAAAAAAGATATAGTAGATATATCTATGCTCTTGCAGGGCGTGATAAGTGGAAGCAACTATATCTTCCAATGTTTTGGAACATTTGACAGTTAAGTGGCTACAGAATCTTATCTTATATATACCTCTTAAAAGTTCTATATATGGTTAATGTAAAAAATCGTTTCGTTTTGTTCAAGCACTTGGCATTAACTTGGCCAATTCGCTTTTACCTTAAGTGATGACAGCTTTGACTTGACAGATTCATTCGCAACCAACAAAAACAAAAAAAAAAAATGCAAAACTCAGGCGTTGCGGAATGTTAATGTAAAATACAACAACAACAACAGACGAACTTATTTATAGTTGCAATGGATATATTTTTGCCTGGCGACATTTCGTCGTCATTAAATAATAATCACAAATTCCGCTGGAACTTTGCCAAAATTAATCATCGGACACTTTCACTTTGACCGCGCCAAATTATGTTCATATATATGTATATATAGATCGGCAAAAATATTTAAAAATATTGTTTATACCCTGAACTCAGTGGAATGTGTAAACAGGCAATGATACACATCTATGTTAAGTGCAGTGGAAGACTCAACTGATTTGATTGGGTTCAATAGACTAGTGGAGTTAGCACTATGCGTGGGTGTGTCTGTTTCAGTGTTCGTATGTTGTTTGAGCTCAAGGAGTGTAAGAAATTTGAGTCAACAATATACGAATTTGATTTTTTAGAAAATAACCGATAGGTTTTAGTATGCATGTAGTGGACTAAATTCCATTTCGAGCTTCAGTTTCAAATATTAAGCCATCAAATTTTTGTATATGAAATCCACCAAGTATACGCCACGAGCAGCTCAAGTTTTACACATCTTCAAATTTTTGCAAAACTAATGTAACATTTGAATAATAAAATATACTATTTAAACTCAAATATACTCTGACTGGGCATATACTAGTCGATCACATTCAAACACATTCTTATACTTGCTTTTTTGCCGTGTGAAAAGTACCACAAATATTTTATGCTTTTTTTCGTGCCCAAAAAAACAAATGCAGCGCTGGCAAATAACAATTTGTGATTTTATCTATAATTAAAAGAAAATTTATGTTTATGGCGAGCCAAAAGAAAAAAAATACAACATTTATTGTTGTTGACACTCTAATAATATATATATATACATATATATATATATAAGTGAAATCATGTGATGACAAAGGGAAATGGGTTAATGTTATAATCTCAAATGAGTGCAGCCTTGTAGTCAGGCCATTTCCTAGACAAGCTCTATAAAATATGTGGACCACAAAGGAATTTCACATTTTTATAGTGCACAATTATACGTGGATACAATGCGGATATATCTGAGTGCATAAATTCATTTAGGCATTTCGTCTTCTATGCACTTCAAGGTTGCAAAAATTGCCAATTTTGTTTGCCAATTTTTGCGTTGTTTTTTGTTTTTCATTTGACAGGCAGCAGACAGAATAGAATAGACCTTCGTCTGCCTCGATATGAAAAATGATGATTCCTCTCAAATATTTAAGCAATTATTTTGTCCTTGAATTCGATTGTCAGAGTCAGGGCTGTCAATAATTAACGTGTGCAGAAGACCACATTTTGTAAAATATTTGCCAACAATTTTTCTCCACTTGTCAGTTAAATATATTTGAATATATTTTAGAGCCTGGCCAGCTCAGTTAACTGAATTTCAAGTTTTTAGTCTGGCAGCACTTCCATTGGCAGTTACATTTGAAATATATTTGATGTGTGGCAACTCTAAACGCTCTTGCTGTTTTTAAGACACGCTTTGGGCTGGTATATTTGAAGTCTGGTAACTCTGAAAGTGTATACTGTTTCATACAAAATATGTTTGGGCAGTTATATAAGAAATCTGGCAACTCTACCACTTTTAAGGATAATTTTAACAGTATTCAATTTTCATATTAAACATAAAGCAATAAATCATCAAATATATAACAATCTGTATATAATGTTTGCAGTTGCTTTATATATATCTTATAGCTCTTATCTGTATATCTATCTTATAATTTTGAAAGAACCTTAAGCTGTGGGTTCTTTTAACATACCCTCTATCTACATCTTTTTATAGCTGGCAGTTTTTTTTATCGGCTTTCTATATTGAAATATATTCATGAAATGCGTTTCGTATAGATAGGGCACATCTGTAAAAGTATTCGGCATGGAATTTGGCACAAAGTATAGAAATAAAAATTTGGCACAATTCGAATGCAGCTGAAAACCTGACCATATGCTTCATTACACACACATTAAACCATTCATGCAGATGGAGGTGTTTGCTTTTAAGTTTCTCACATTTTATATATGATTTTCTAATTTCAATTTTTTTGTTTGTTACACATATTAAGATTTTTCAAGCGACCGCTTACTTATAATATATATAAAAATATAACAATCGTGAAATTTAAAATCATATACAAAGGGATAAATGGCTTCAAATATTTAAAAAATAATATATTAAATGCCGATAGAGAAATAAAAAAATTAAATATTAAATGACTATAGAGAAATAAATAAATATACAAAATATCTAAAAATCAAAGCTACATAAATTTATATTTTGAAAATTTTTTAAAATAATATTGAAATATAATAAAGTAAATAAACAAAATTGAAGATTTGAATAAAAAATTAAGAAAGAATACTTTTAATAATTATAGAAAAATAAAATATAAATTAGTTTAGGTAAAAAAAAAATTAAATGTGACGAATTATTTCAATATAATATTTTGAAGTAATAGCACAAATAGTAAAAGCTTAGATAAATATTGGCTCATAGCAATATAATATTTTTGAAATTTATGAAAATCATAAAAATATATTAAGTACTTAACGCTCTAAAATAGTTGAACCATTATTTTATTTTAATTTTATATATTTTTATATAATTTGATATATTTTATAGAAAATATAAAATATATTTAACTGCTTAAAAATGTGGCCTAAAGTTATGTCCAACAATTTATGGCAATAAGCCATAAATGGTATTTAGTCACGCAAGCCCAAAGCCAATGCCTGGCATAACTACATATATGTATATATTAATATATATATAATATATTTGCACCTATATCAAGCCCAGTTATCCATTTTAGAACTGAGAACTTTGTGTTGCCATGACATAAGCGCGACCTTGACTCGATTCGCATCGAATTGAATTTTATTTACATTTTCGCTTTAAATTGAGTGCAGCGCAGGTAATGTTGCATGACTCACCTTTGGCACTCCTTTTCCCTAGTGTCATTATCATTGAATACCGATTTCGAGATGCTGTTAATGTCGTCCACTATGCTTCGCAATTTCTTTTGAGTATCTGTTGCCAGGCTCCCCGTCAAATTGGGAACCGTAATTAACTCTTGCATGTTTACGAGTCCGTTGCCCGATCGGACGCCACAATATATAAAAATTCCACAAATTCCAGAACGAGCGTAGACAAAAACAAAACTATTTCGTATCTTTTGAATTTGTTCTCGTAGTAGCGTAAACACAATTTTTTTATAAATATATATATTTGTATATATAGCAGTGTGTAAGTTTATATGGTTTTTTATAGCGCTCACTTTAGCCGTATTTTCTCTGACGACGAGCAAAAGTCGACTGACTCATTGGGCGCTAAATACGAAAGACAATTCGAAATATTTTCAGTTGTTGTCGTGGTGGATTTGTGAGTGCGTAAGGTGTATTAGCGTGTACGCCAATTTCTACCTGTGGATATGTATACTATATAAATATACATTTTACTGCTGAACCTCACATTTCAATCTTCTATATGTTTTTATTATATAAATTGTTAGAATTTTATGCCAAAACTTCAGTTTTTTGGTTCATACACTCTGAAAATAACTTTGCCATATAAAATTCAGTTATTTAGTTCAATTATTTGTGGTCTAAAGATTTAAAATATTTGCAGTTTGATTACCAAAATTTCATTTTAACGGTTATTTGTTTGGACGTTGCCACATGCTTGTGCTTGTGCATTCTGTTAATCACTAATCAGTATTTTTATTTAAGATCCATGTTAATTTTTTATTCAAATTGATTAGCTCAATTTATGAAGTAACACAAAATTTAGCAAGTCAAAAAACAAACGTTTGTTTCCTACAAATTTTATAGCGCCTACTGTTAATAACAGTTAAGCAAATGTTAGGTTGTTTATATTACTGTTAACACTGCTGTTAACGTGGAGAAAACAGCTGTTCGATGTTCGTGTACAGCCACAAGAAATTGTGAACGAGATAGAGAATATTGCTGCGTAAGAAGAAGAGCAAAGCGCATGAGAGAAATAGCAGCAGACGCCAGGAAGAGGCCGCAAACAAAACTGTTAATTTGCACAAATTATCTTTTATCAGAATATATATTCAACTATTAGAATGGGTAAGGAAAAAGCGGGCAAAATGTTTAACATCGGCGATTTGGTATTCGCAAAAGTGAAGGGCTATCCAGCGTGGCCGGCAAAAATAACAAAGTACCACAACAAAAAGTATAATGTTTACTTTTATGGCACCGGAGAGACCGCCAATATAAAAATCGAAGATCTTTTCATCTATGCGGACAACAAGGAGAAGTTCGCCAATCCCAAGAACATGAAACGTGCTAAATTTAGCGATGCGATCGATCAAATTGAGAGCGCGTTGCGTGGCGAGGATTCGGCGCCAATCGATTTGCCAGCCAGCGCCAACGATGAGGGCAATGAGAGCACAATGGAATCGGCGCCAGATGCAACAGCAGAATCTGCTGCCAGCACTACGGCTACATCAGCGGAGTCAGTAACAGCTGCGGAGGGCAGCGAGCAGCCTCAACAACCACAGCCGCTGCCAAAAGCGCGCGGAGCCGCAGCAGCTGGCGGAGGGGTGACAACTGCAACTGGCCGTAAAACGAAGGCGCCACCAAGGCATGTGGATGGCGACACAGAGGATGCTAGCACTGATACAGTGGATACGCCACCGCCGCAAAAGAAACGTGTTCCCCCAGAAGGCATAGCCAGCAAAAAGTCCGTAAAGAAAGCGAAGCCGACGGCTGCGGTGACGCCCATGCAGAAGCGTGCGCGGCACTCAAATGTGAGTATATACAATATAATATGTCTGTCTATATGTGTTAAATATTTATGGAATATGTTCTCTTGCAGGTCATACAGAACAATCTACTGATGGTATATATGCCTACGGCGAAATGTCTGGGCATCAATATGAACTATAAAAAGCCCGCCAGCTTCGATAGTCCGGCTGCGGAGCAAGCTTGGATGGAAAAGTCGCGTAAGGAGGCGATAGAGTTGAAATTGAAATTGGAGTCTGGACAAATCGATGCGGAATCAATGCCGGAACGTATTATCATTGAGCCGGTACGCAATGAAATACCCAAGCAGGAGGCCGTGCGTTTCATTGAAGAGCTCATCGAGCAGGAGGATGCCTTGTTTATGGAACGTGATTTTATACAATTATCGCAGCAACTGCGGGAATGCCTTGGACTACGACGCGCCAATGTGGGCAGATGTCTGGAAATCTTGGAGCAGCTGAAGGACATTGAATTGAATAAATTGATGCTCTTGCGAAATCCGGAATGTGTGGATATAATGCGCCGGTTACGTCGCTATGTTGGCAATTTGGAATTATGGAAAATGGATATATCGGATGAATTGGAGTTCAAGGAGAAGGCGCAAATCATACGAAAAGTTTCTACGGGCATATACGATGGGTTTAAGGCGCTCTTCAATCCAGAAACCGAGCCGGAGGAGAACTTCTGGGTAGACTTTTGCGAAAAGGTCAAGATCTACAAAAACTATACGAAAAATATTAACGATAATCTGCGCGTCTCAATGAGCGAGAATAGCTATCAGAATTTGGTTAAGACCAAGGAGCAAAACGCCCCTGCATCCACGGAGGTGGTCAAAAACTGAAAGCATCAACTGTTTCCAGCTAACAATTACTTAAGGTACAGCCCAATAATCCAATTGCCTTAATTATTTAATATTTTCATATTTTCCCTTTCTGCTTTCAGTTAATTTTAAGCATAAAAAAAAAAAAAACAAAATTCACGCCTAAGCGAACAGCTTAATGTGAAGCACCGATTACTATTCTAAACTTTCATTAGAGCCGTTGAAATTGAAATTTGAATCAATTGAACTGGTTGCAATTAGTTTTTTAATTATAATTACATCATCGGGCGCTATCTGTAACAGTATGAACAACCACGTCTAAGAGAGCTGCATCAGCAATCCGCAAACAAATTTATAAAACACACACACACACAATCTTTAAATACAATTGCATAGATTATTATGTTTAAATACACAGCTATGAAAATATGTGTATTAATAAATAAACACTTGACGATATCTATTTGCTGTGTCTTGTCTGGCCTAAGTGATTGACGGATTGACCAACGATGTATGAGCTCAAGCAGCGGTACAGAAGTCGATCATCCATGCAAGCTGTAAATTATATTTATATGTGTATGTATGTGTATACTATTAAAAGTGTATATGTGGAAGTAAACCTAATTTCCCGATTGAATGAATGATTGATGTCCACAAACAAAGTACACATTGTATTCAAGGATAAAATAGTTCAACTAGACAAGAGTGAATTTATGAAAACACCTTACTGATTGATTGATTGATGATCATGTATCGTGATTAGTGGTGTACAAAGCCAAATAGCGGTACAGAGCAGAGCAGAGAGATCATGAGTTCAGGGCTAAAATTGCATTAAATAGCTGTAGATCGAGGCTCATTTGGTGATTAGTGGAATGATTGAAGAACGATGTACAAGAACTGGCCGACAAATACATAAGCCATAGGTTTTTTAAATATTGACACGGATATCTGAAAAGTTTTCGAAATGTCAATAATAAATGTAGGATTATATGAGAAGTTTAGATACAAAAAAAACTTATATATTCCATAAGCTGTATCAAAATGTTTTTTGTGAACATAAAACTAAGTTGTAAAACGGATTAAATTTATATGAATAGAAGTTCAGTATCAAAGGATCGCACTTAAACTTAATTCTTAAAGATTTTCTATACAAATTAAGGAATATTGAAAAACATTTTCAAAAGTTTCTTAATCTATTCCAGTTTCTTGGTTTATCCAGTAAAATGTATATTGAATAAAAGATTTTGGTTATTAAAGCTAGTATTTTTAATACTATTATTAGATGTTTATATATATTTAGGTAAAGCTGATGGGTTTACGATTCTTGCCGTAGATACGCTGATATTCGCGTCGGTTTGACTTTTGCTCTGTGGTGTCATTAGATCTGCGTTTCGTCTGATATCGACGATCTTCTTCATGCTTTTTAGCTTTACGCTCGGCCAGTTGCTTCGGCGTTGTGGCCAACATACGTTGCTTCATGCGCTTTATGCGCTGTTGCATTTTGGGTGTAATCCGAAAGAGTGGTTCGACATCGGATTCAGCTTGAACTCTGCTTAAAGTAAGCTGTTCATTCTCGGCCGGCAGAGTAGATTGCTTAATGCGTCGCAGTTCCGCGCAATCTTCAATAATGATTTCTGGTTCAATGAAGCTAGTAAAATCATATTCTATACTATTTTCTGTTTCCGTTTCCAATGCTAAAGGGTCAGCATTGTTCTCATTCAAATTGTTGTCCATTCGTTTACAATTTGATTATTGTATTATTGTCTACATAGCGCGGAACTTGCACAATTAGAGCAGCTGTGAACTGAAACGCATGAAATTGGTATTTTAACAGTGGCCAGTATGCTGCTCGCATTGCTGTTAATGAAATAATAATACTGTTAATAGACCCACTTAAGTATCAGTGGGCAGGCGATACAGCTGCGTGAATTAGTTTTAGAGAGAGCTATAAATAATCGAACCAATTATATTTGCCTGTAAAATATTTATTAAATGCCTATCCCATACAAAAAATGTTAACTTAAAGTCTTTACAATTAACCTTAGCTTAGCTTCCTCTTCATAAATTTATATCAAAAACATTTAATTGCTTTCGAGTCAAACCCTATCAATCCTTTTCCTTAACATCGCCAATTCCCTCGGGTAATATAGCAAACATGGCCTCTGACTCGGGCAAACAGGGCGAATCATAGATCTTACAGATTCGCGCGTCTCCTTTGCCCTTACGCAGATATAGCCGTGTCGTCGATGCATGTGCCATGATATGACCACCAATTGGCTTTTTTGCATCGGCCACAAACAATGCTGCACCTCCATCTACTTGCGCGGTTACTTGATTCGTTATGACCACCGCAACGCCAAATTCGTCCGCCAAGCGCTGCAACATGCGCAAAAACAGGCCTAAATGATTTTGACGCGCTGCCAATTCTCCGCGTCCAATATACTCGGAGCGATATAGCGCCATCGCACTGTCCACAATGATTAGGGCGTATCTAAAAGTAAATATATATCAAAAGGAGTTATATATAAAGCTTATATGTTTGATTTCACCTCGATTCAAACATCATGCCTGCTGCCATTTGAACCAGTTGCGTCTGCTGATCCGTATTGTGGGCACGTGCACAGGCCACATTGTCCAAGACATCCGCCTCCTCCATATTGTATCTTTGTGCAATTGCCGACAAGCGTTCCGGCCGAAATGTGCCCTCGGTATCAATGTACAAGGCTTTGCCTTCGCCACCATTCTGACTGATAGGCAGCTGGCAGGTTACGGCCAGCGTATGGCAGATTTGGGTCTTGCCACAACGAAATTCCCCAAAGATTTCCGTAATTGAACCCGTCTCAATGCCACCGCCAAGCAGTTTGTCCAACTCTTTGGAGCCCGTTGTGAGCATTACCACTTCGGAGCGCATCTGATGAAAGGTGCGTGCGCTGGTAAAGCTTAAAGGTATCAACTTCGCCGCCTCCTTCATAATGTGATCCACTTTGGATTCGCCCAGACCTTTGATATTCAGCAACTGACGACGCGTCGCATATGTCACCGACTCCACTGTATGTAAACTGGCCTGCTGCAGTAGTTTTATGTCCCTGGGATTAATGTTGCTACCCTTCAAGATAAGATTAGTTTATATATGTTACTATATTAACAAAAATTTACACGCTTACTTGTAGTTTAAGGACGTCCAGTGGTCCTCCATCTTCCTCTTCTTCATCCGAAACAGCGGCCGTTGTGGCTGAGGCTAGATCAGCTTGTTTCTGTGCTGTGCGTTGCTTTTGCTCCATTTTTATTCGTTTTTCTTACAGATGAGCAATACGTCAAACCTGTCTGCTTTAATAGATGAATTTCTAAATTTTAAAATGTTTACTGCCACATTTATTAAAAATACGCGCGCTTTGTTGTGAAATGTTATAGATATTTTTTTACCATTCACAATACCGTCGCATTCATCAGCTGTTTACTTGTTTATTTAATCAAAAGAAGAAGCATACAAAAAGTTAAAGAAGAAGCAAGGAACGCTCAGAAAGAAACACGCTGTACTGTAACGATAGCACTTATATAAATACAAATCCGGCATTTACAACTCGTTCAGCAGCTTTTAAATCAATAAAAAGCGGAACAATTGCGGAGGTTCTTCTGTTAACGGTATATTTAATAGAAGTATGATTGGATATCATTACTTCGATGTACAACTGTAAGTTGAATGCGGCAAAGTAAATTGTCACAGTTAACAGCACACGTGCATGTTGGTTGTGCCAGTGTTACTTAACGTTGTATATATTTTTTTATTTTGTAGGAAATTTCGGGATTTTGATAACGTTGAACTTACGCCTATTTATTTTCGGGGCTGCGTTTTGAACTCTTTGGAGAAATTCTTTGGTGAAATAGGCGGCAAGACAAGTTTGGATATTGTGAAATTTAGCGTTGAACAGCGACGCGTTGTTTTCCGCGTTCCCGAGGAGTTCTACAAGCGCATCCATACGGTAATCACATTAATTGGCCACTACCAGGAAGTACCCTGTCATTTTCAAGTGTTGAAAACATCTCGAACCCCATTGGACTTCAAAAAGCATTTAATCGGAGAAGATTATTGTGAAGAAGATTAGTTAGACTACAATATACTTAAAGCATGGCGTTCTCTTATTGTAAAGTATTTGGCAAGGATAAAGTAATCTTTGCCACCAAAGAAGATCACTCGACGCCTAGTACTATCGAACTGCCAGCACCAGAACCTCCGCAGGGTCTCATCACAAAAGATGGAAATATTAACTGGAGCTGCCCATGTCTGGGTGGCATGGCTACTGGACCATGCGGCGTAGATTTTCGAGATGCGTTCTCGTGTTTTCATTATAGCGAGGCGGAACCGAAGGGTTCCGATTGCTACGAAGCATTCCGTAAGATGCAGGACTGCTTTCAGCAATACCCTACTGTCTATAACAAGTCAAATGGCGGCGATGATGATGATGATGCCCTTGGTGATGTTATGAATTCGGACAGCAACACCAATATCAAAGACGTTGATGAACTTACTGGAGGTGCTGGAGCCGCTGCAGCTGCAGCAGCAACTGATACACACATAACAACCACAAATGCCGTGTCCAAAGTGGAATAAAATAAATCATCAAAATAGTTAAACCTCATATTTATATATATTTTTATTTCATTTACTGTTCGAATTGTTTCCGTTAAATAACATAACATTGAATCAGCTGTTAATATTTTGTTTCTTTCCATAACAGCTGATTTAGCTCCTCGGGGACCAAGTTCAATATAAACATTTGTTTAAGTTTTGGTTAAGATTTGAAATTTATCTTCAAGAAATTATTAAAATTAAAACTTAGTTCTATATTTATGCTTACAATTGGAAGTTAAGTTATATTTTACTTATTTTAATTGTTAAGGGGGCGCTTTATTTGTTTAACATACAGTATTTTTCTGGTATTTTCCAAAATATTTAACAAAAACAACTGTGACATTGTTACTGGTAATTTTTGTCGTCTAGTAATCGACAGACCACCACACACAATCGGCCGACCACCATAAGAAAAATAAGAAAACTTATGAAAACCGTGACGAAAATGTTATTAAGCGTATTGTAAAATGCATAATGTGCTAATAAATCTCAGATGTGAAACTTTAAAACGTGAATTTAATATCAAATCTGTGCAAAATTTTAAAGTGCAATAGTTATTACGATTGCAGTGCAATTAGTTTGAGCTACAGGCCAAAAATATAAATCAAAACAAGTAAATAACCTTGTGTCTTGCAGTTCGAGCGCGCTTCGAAATCAGTAACAAAATAGAAAGTCAAATAACCAACAGCCGCCAGTGAAGTGAGTGTTGTGCATTTTGCTTTCGCATAAATAGTTAAATCTGTATATTCTCAACCACAAGCTATAGCTTCCTAAATTTCACAATAGTGCTTTTTGTTAATGTCATTTTCAGTGCGTTAAAAAATTTTGTGCTGCACACTGACAAAAATATACGCCACACACACAGACGCACACACACAATCAAATACGTATATACGCAGTTACGTATTGGTGTGCATATGAAAGACGTGCGGAGAAGAATTCGAAAATATACAGTGTACTTCCATTTGAATAGTGTTTTTATTTAAAAATTAAAAAAATAAATAAAATAAAAAATACAAAAGCAATAACGAAGAGTCTCAACTGTAGGAATACAATTAACAGGAAAAGCAACAACAAATACCATATTATCAGTGATTTGCAACAATAAAAAAGAGGAAAATTAGAAGTAGTTAACAACGAACATCAGATTTACATATTTGAATGCTGCTTCGGCTTAAAGATTTCGTAGAAAATGGTCTCGATAATTGATACAATTGATGCGGCAGCGGAGGCTCAAAAACAACGGAGCGCCGCTGCCGCTGCCGCTGCGACGTTGACTGTCAACGCTGGAGCCAAGTTACCGACCGCTGCTGCAGCTGGCGGTGGGGCTGCTGCTGCTGCTTCAGCAGCAGGTGTTGCCTTGACCGCAAGCGGCAAGCCTAAGGAGAAACGAAGGTGAGTTATGGTCACCCTAATGCTTAGTCCCACTTTGTCGACCCTCACCCTTTTCTAGCAGACAGACAAATAAATAATCTAAGCTCCTGCCATGTGATCTGCCTGTCTGATGGGCTGTTGCCTATTGCATAAGCAGTTTTGCTTTCTTTTTTCTTCAGCTGCTGCTGCTGCTGCTGTTGCTTACGTTGTTGTTGCTGCTGCCGTTAGCTGCGTTGTCGTTAGCGTCAGCGCCGCTGTTGTTGCTATCGACGCTAACGTCAATGACGTTAGCTGCGGATACGCTCAATAGGGTTGAGGGATTTAACTATTTACAGCAATTGCACACCCTAATTCGCACCCTAGTTGAATTTTAAGCTTTAATGCTATCGATTCCATATAGGGCTGATATTGCTGTAAGACCTTTTGGGATTCTCAGATCCAAAAACCGTTCCTTCACTTACTTATAGTGAAAGCTTTTTTTATATGTCAAAAGTATAAAAAATATATACGAAGATCATATCTTAATATTTTCATAGTCTATGCACAAGTATATAAGAAAAAAGGCAACAAGGTTGCTTTGATATTCGGAAGTACTTTCCTAGGGGATACCTTAAATAACGTGCTGAATTAAAGTTTTTCTTTTGTTCTTGTTCTTCCCAAACACCATTGGAAATTGTTGATCGTATTGCAGTTAAGAGGAAAATTTGGGATACCCAAAAAAACGGGTCTATTAACTTTAGCTGAATACAATTTTATATACCAAAATTGATCAAACATGCTATAAAATATAAGCAAAGGTCTGAATTGTTTTGTAATCGATTTCAGAGAATTTCCAACAACACACTGAATTAGCTTTCAATTCATAATTTTCTTTTCTTCTTTTCTTTTTCAATCAATCAATCCGATAAAGTATTTGTTACTTCGTAGATATTTAATATGCTTGGAAGAGTTTGATTTCCTATTAGATCTCGCTTACCAAATTAAGTTATTATAGTAATAAACTACTAAGGATTGTCAGACTAGTAGTTATCCTGAACCCTGTGAAGAAGTGATATTCTTTTTTACATATATAACCAACAACAGACACACACCCACACGCATAAGCACTTGTTGCGCTTGGGCTTCATGGGCTCTACTATGAGAACTTCAGTGTTGAATAACTTTCGTTGGACGGATAGACGGACAGATGGATAGTTAGATCGCCACAGCTTGTCGTCTTGATCAATAATATATATAGTTTACAGAGTTTGCCTCGCTTCTCACATATGCCCATGACGGCTACAGGGCTTCAAAATGGCATAGTAGAATGCTTTCTTAATCGATAAATACCAGTATATATACACATACATACACACGTTTTCAACAACTTTTTGTGATGAAATAAAAATGCTCTTTTACTTGCATAGTACATACGCTTATCACACATGGGTAAATAATATTCATTTATATAATACTTGCATTTTTGACACGTGTTGATGATTCAGCAAACAAGAGATTGACAGAGGGTGGGGGCAAATATTCCTATACATTTAAGAAATCTAAATCGTAATCATTAATCACGCTTGACTTTTGCATTTGCGATAATTATACAACTTTAGCGAAGGTAGACTGTAAAAGAGAACGCGTTGACCGAGACCTTACCTTGAATGTGGCAACAAATAAAACCCAAATGCAAATAAAAGAAATACTTAAAACCCAAAAGCAACAAGCAACAAAATTGCCAAATTATAATTGCGCGGGTCAATAGGATTTGGTGGTCCAAACAAACGGACTAAACTTTTCCGTAAGTTGTTTTTTGATGTTTCGAATTAATTTCCATTCTTATTGTCAAGGATTTAGCCATGCCTTCCTTCTTTCGGCACGTTTCTTTTTTTTTCTGGTTCATAGTTATTGCTATTGGTCGAGTGACGAATCGCCCATACTTCAATGGAAATCTTATCGGTTAATAACAAGTTTATTTAATTATCCTTGATTGGCTTCGTCGGATACGTTTATTCTATATTTAGACATATTCTCTCTTGGTCCGCCTCATTGCACTTTGGATTTCCTCTTTACAGCTCGGGCTACGCATTCCTTTTGGCGTTTGGTTTATTTTTAAAAATTAAACAAAAGATGCAGAAGAAGAAGAAAGAAAAACCTGTTGTCGGCAGCCACGTAAACGTGTAACCAGTTTTATTGTTTTGCTGTTGTTGTCAGTTTTGTTTTATCAGTTTGTTTTGGTTTTCTATACAGTTGTGATACCCTGCAATTGTAATTGTGCGACAAACATATACCCTGTATATTTATCTAGACTCTAGCAAAAGACTACGTATATTCCATAAATTGTTTTCTATATATTGCATTTGATATATGTGAAAAGCGCATAGAAAGCGCTAGTACTTGAGATTTGCTAGACTGATTTGTGTACTTAGTTACTAAGTATCTTCGCTGCGAGTTCTCCCCTCAACTTGTTGTTCAGTTTTTGTTTTTAATTTTATTTTTAAGTTTATTTTTGTTTGCCTGCCCTCTTTCGGCATTTTCCTGAGGCGTGTCTGCGACCTGCCCCTCAAGTAACGGCCACGCATTTGCTTAAATCATTTACATTGTATTCACCGCATAAAATGTAAAATTTATCAAATTTTTTTTACTTATATTTTAAATAGTATAATAATATGCAAGATTTGCATTAAATTGAACGATTTTATTTTGGCCTACGTGACTTCAGTTAGCTGAAAAGCGGTTCTGTAACAGTTCCAAGCGGTAAAGAAAAACAAATGCTGAGCTCAATCGGCAGCCAGTTTTCCATGCTAAACTAGTTTCTGGCATTGATTAAGTTTGTATTCAATTTGTTTAATGCTCTGTTATCAATTTTTGGCTGCTTTAGATAACTCTGAGAGCCTGACATCTCATACTGAGCTAAAAACGAAGATCACGTGTGTATATTATTCATTTATTGATATCGAAAACGTTTTGGAATATCAAAAGTATTGACACAAAACTGTTGTTTGCTAAGTTACAAATTTTTTTGACTTATTTAATTTTTTCTTATGTACTTAAAGTAATGCTGTAAAGTTCCTATTGAAATTTAATCAGCAGAGTATATAGATTATATATACAAATACTTAATATATAATATTTAACATGTACTTAAAACAAAACTTGTGAAATGCTGCCTGCTAGAGATTTCGAAAATGTTTTAATATATAAATGTCTTAATATATATATGTATATATATTTATAAATATTACACATATATATGTTTTATAAACATTATCATGCCTCTCACGCTGTCATCACTAGTCACGACCTCGTTGCGCACTTGTCTGTTCGCTCGAATTGATTTACTTCACTTTGCTAGACATCTCAGCCTCGATTAAAATTGTATAAAAATGGAAAAGAATTATTTAAAAATATTGCTAAGTCGACATAGATTATAGAATATTTAAACTCACGTATCGGATTTTCAAGCTATTCAACTTAACAGACAATCGAAAAAATATATGCTACGAATATCATTAAAATTATTTTTTACTGAAGAATAATTATTTTTCAATTGACATGATTAATTGAATGTGGCTATAAATGTCATAATTAAGAGATATGGTTCTTTTTCTTTATTTATATATTTATTTATATATTATTCAAAAATGTTCCAGAAGTATTCAAGTTGGAAATTAAAATTAATTTAAATTGTTTTGAAAAAAATCTTAGAATTAACTGAAATATCTGCTTACCTCTTGTTGTTGTTTATAATAAACACAATTCTTATGCATTCTTCACACGTAGCATATACCCTATGCTACCCTCTAATTTTGTTGCTTTTTACTGATATCAAAATTGTGGAAAACAATAAATAGAAATAGAAACTTTTGTGTATTTCAATAGCAATGCAAGGCAAACGCATAAAATTAACACAAGCTTGCGAGCAGCACAATATGTTAAATATTTAAAATGATATGCTTTATTGTTGTTGTTAAGGCAGATATTGTTGTTGTTGTTTCTTTGCTGTTGTTTATATGTTGTTGCTGGCCGCGGCAGCCTCTGTCTGGCCACGACGACCTACTTTTTTGCGCAATCGAACTAAACTGTGACGACATTAACGGCAGGGGGCAACGGGCGAACGGGGTGGGTAACTGTAAGTGTGTGTGTGTGTATGTATTTGTTTTGCATGCATATGATGTGTTTGTGTGTGTGTGTCTGTATGCTTCGGCTGTTGTATTTTCTTTTTATTCGTATAAAAACATATAGTTGATGCCGCTACTGCTGCTGTTGTTGTTATTGTCATAATCTTAAGGTCTGCGAGACACTCAACTAATACACTGCTGTTGCTATGCAGCAGTCGCACCACAAAAACTGCAGCAGCTTCACGCGATATTTCCTTCACACTGAACTCATTGAAAATGCTTAAGCTGGGTATATTGTTTTTGTTGATAAGTATGTAACAGGCAAAAGGAAGTGTGGCTAAGCACATATAATTACCTTTCCGTCCATTGTATGAGTTCGTTGAACTTGAAGCATACTAGAACTAGATATATGAAATTTTAGCTATAGTTGATTCATTTCATTCATAAAGATTTTGAACAAGCTTATTCAAATCTATATTTAAATTGATTTTAAATGTCTTAAAAATAGATATAGTTTCTTCTAAAAAAATAAATATATTTCTATATTATTCTTTGGATAACATTGTATAATTTGAAAATTTTTAAAAACTAACGGCTGAATAAATATAAATTCGAATGTACCTATGGAGTATTTCCTAGTTGGGCAAACTCACTGATTGTATCTGTGCTTCTGTGTCTCTGCCATTTGTATCTGTATGTGCAGCTGTCTCGGAATGTGTTGCTGCTCTTTGTTTTGGATTTTTGGGCTGCCGATTTATTTTTACTATATAATAACTTTTATTTTTGGTTCTCTTTTTGTATTGTGATACTGTGTATCACAGGGAAAGTAAATTTATTGAGCCTTTGCGCTTGTCAGGCGCACGTATTTAATATAGCAGAAATATACTCATAATTCTTTCAGGTTTCGCTAAAGCGCAG